ATAACTTGAAAGGATCTATGAACCTAAATATGAAAGACTAAAATATAAAACTTTAAGAAGACATTATAAGGGAAAATGAACATGAATTTAGGGTAGGCAAGAATTTCCTAGGATACAAAAAACATGAGGTATGAAAGAAAGAAATTGATAAATGGGATTCTATCAAAATTTAGAACTTTAAATGACCTCGTTAAGAAAATGAAAAGTCCTTAAACAAACCCTATTTATAATATATATAACCTAAGACAAGAATATATAAAGAACTCTTACAGCTCACTAATGGACAACCCAATTAAAAAGTAGACACAAGAAGATGATAAATAGCCAGTACAGCACAAGGAAAGGTGTGCAACACTGGAATCAGAAAAATACTAATCAGTACAATAACAAGATTGTATTATACACTCATTAGAGAAATGAAGTTAAAAGTTTTAAAAGAACAACAGGTGTGAACCAGTTAGAACTGTCTAATACTGCTAATGTGAATGTTAAACGACAAAACCATTTTGGAAAACAATGTAGGAATTTCTTGTATTACTGTTAAGAACCAACAGTTCTGTTCTTGACTTTTTACTTAAGAGGAATGAAAACACATGTTCACAATAGATTTGTATATGGAAGTTGACTATCCCTTATCTGAAATTCTTGGGACCAGAAGTGTTTCAGATTTTGGCTTGAAATCCACTTGATCTGCAAAGAGGATAGCTACTCCTGGTTTTTTTCGGGTTCCTGTCTCATGGAGTATTGTTTTCCATCCTTTAACTTTCAGTCTATGAGTTTCTTATTGAATTAAATGTGTTTCTTGTATGCAGCCTATTGTTGGATCTTGCTTCTTGACACATTCTCCCAGTATATTTCTTTTGATTGGCGAATCGAGACCATTAACATTGATGGTTATAACTGATAGGTACTGACTTATCATTGTCATGACTTTTTCTTTTTGTTGGATTCTCCCCCTTTGTGTTTAATTTCTTGTCGCACCGATGGATTCATTCTGCTGGGCTTCCTGGGGTTGTGATCCTCATTGTCTTTTCCTAGGATATTGTCTAAAATTTTTTGGAGTGCTGGTTTGGTATTCATGAAATTCCTAAGTTGCTCTTTGTCATGAAAGTATCTTATTTCTCCATCAATTTTGAAAGATAGTTTTGCAGGGCACATCAGTCTGGGTTGGAGGCTGTTTTCCTTTAGGGCTTGCAATACATCACCCCAAGCTCTTCTTGCCTTGAGGATTTGCGTTGAGAAGTCTGCTGTGATTCTGACGGGCTTTCCTTTGTGTGTGATTTGTTTCTTTTCTCTAACTGCTTGTAGAATTTTGTTCTGCTGGGTTTCTGGAATCTTAACTATTATATGCCTATGTGTAGTTTTTTTTTTTTATCTAGGCTAGTTGGAGTCCTATATGCCTCACTTATCTGTATGTCAAGTTCTTTTCCCCTGCTTGGGAAGTTTTCTGCCATCACTTCTGTGAACAGTTTTTTATGTCATCTGCACTCTCTCCTGTTTCTTCATTGGCTCCAGTCAGTCTTATGTTATTCTTCTTTGCATCGTCTAACAGCTGCTGGATTGATTTCTCATGGTCCCTTACAATTTTAAAGCAATTTTTCTTTTCCTGGTCACTAATTGCAATCTTATCTTCTATATCTGAGATTCTGTCCTCACATTGGCTCATTCTGCTGTGTAGACTTTCAATGGAGTTTTTAATCTGGAAATCTGTTTGCATCTGTTTGATGGATTGCATTTGTTTCCTATATTGGGATTCCATCATGTTCCTCAGCTCCTCTATTTTTTTAATCTGTGTCCTCTCTAGATTTATTAATCATGTCTTGCACTATGAGCACGATCTCTGCTGTTATCTGAGAAATTATTTCTGATTTCATTTTTTCCAGATCCTGCTTCATTGCCAGTTCAGGGAGTCCAGGTAGTTGAATGTCAGAGTGTTCCATCTCGTTTCTCTTTGGGGTTGCTTTAGGTGATCTGGAAGTCTGGTTTTGAGACTTATTTACATGTCTTCTCACTTCAGTTGCGGTGTGGGAGGGGGTGCTGTTGGCACATGCATGCCTCACCTCTGTTCTGGGGGCAGTGGTGGTATGGGGGCTCTGTACCTTTCTATAGGTGCCCTGGACTGGGAAGGTCTACTGCTTCTGTGAGGTGCTCCTACCTAGGATGACAGAGGGAAGGGAGCATAGGCAATCATGGATGACGAGTAAGAGCAGACCCTAAAAGTTTGGAGGGTGCTGGAGAACCACAGGGAGCTTATAATGTTTCTCCCCAGGTAGAATAAAAGGAAAGCTCAAGGTGACTCCATCAAATTTATGCTCCCATTGTGTGAGTTCTTGCTACTTTTCTAGAATTTAGCACATAAAAAGCTTCTGGGTCTGCTCATCTATGCTCTGCTACTTTTAGGACAGGTGAGAGCCATGCAGCTTTTTACATTTGTCTTGGTGCTTCGAAGAAGATGGTTCACGTGTCACTGGTAACAGAGTGGATTCTAGAAGTGTAGTTTCTATGTCCATGACCATGGCCATCCTCTGTGTGATGCTGTGTGAATTAAACCCCCCCTCAAAGTAGTACCAAAGAGAACAGTCTTTTGAACAGGTACATGGGCCCATGTAGTTGTAAAGGAATAAATGTCCAGGTCTTTACCATACATACAGATCTGTCTGAGAAGACCCTTGGTATTTTAGTGCTTCTCCGTTCCCACTTCTCCATTCATAGTCAACTCACTGCCATCTCACAGAAGAAAGACATATTGTCCATGCATTAAAAGTGTTTTATTGCCTTTGAGTAAAAATATTCTGGGGCCTCAGCTAAAGGTTAGAGGTGGACTTGAGCTAAGGGAAGTACATGCAGTCTTGTTGGCATCTGGATCCAGAGAGAACATGTACTCAGAGTGAGTTACTTTTCAGCCCACAGGGCCTGGTTCCAGGAGCAAAACACACCAGGTGAAGTGGGAGGACGCTGCAGGACCTGGGTACCACCATTGTGGAGACACCATTGATTGGAGACTAAGATTTCTAGCTAGAAGTTTAGGGCAGAAGAAGAAGACTAAAAACACAGCCTCCTGATTACTGGCCATTTCCCAATAACAGAAGAAAATGATTAAGACTCAGGTAACTTTGAGTTTATTTTTCTCTTCATTCTTTGATTGATTTCCGAAAGAATTTCAAAGTCACTTGAATTAAACGAAAAAATATAAATGGTGTAAAACACTATTTGTGTCAAAATACACTTATAGTGTTACTTTCGGCATCAAGGTGAAGTAGAATCAGGAGTATATTGTTCCTGTCATAAGAAGATATTTGGTCTTTATCCCTAGTTTCTGGAATGGAGCTCCTGAAAGCCTTGGAATATTTTTATATCACTGATACAGTCAATAGCAACCTCTTTTGTTCTAGTAAAATGGCTTTTTGTAGTTCTCTAGATGGCTTCAGGTTGGATGTGACTGGTTACCTGAGAAACCAAGCCTTATTTAAATTGGAGCTTTGGCCTTATCCCCAACTTCCACTGAAGGTAGTGAGTTTAGTCCCCAAGGACCAGTCATGCCTGTATAATGAGACCCGCATGAAGTCCTCGAAATGATGGGGTTGGAGTCCACATGGAGATGCTGGAGTGTGGTACATACAGAGGGCATGGCAGTTCATGCAGTCCCCACACCCCTAAATCTTGCCTTGTGCATCTTTTCTATTTGGCTGTTCCTGAGTTATATACTTACTACCAGTAAATTCTGCACATAATTAAAATTTCTATTTAGATGAATGGTTGGTGAGTGAATGACAATTGCAGATTATTTTTGTAGGATTTTACTTCCACAGTGCATTAAAAACCGCTAGGGGTATAGTTGCAGAAAATAAGCAGGAAAACTTTTTTCCATATCATTACAAGGAGATCACAGGACTGTGTTGTTTCAGGAGTCACTGACCCTGGAGGATGTGGCTGTGAGGTTCACCCAGGAGGAGTGGCAGCTCCTGGGCCCTGCTCAGAAGGACCTGTACCGGGATGTGATGCTGGAGAACTACAACAGCCTGGTGTCAGTGGGTGAGGACAGCTGCCCCGTGTCACTCAGAAGACGGCTGTCAGTGGCCTTTCCTTTCTCAGCTCCTAGAAGCTCTGGAGGACCTGCGGTGTCTTGAGTGGTAGACTCTCATTCCATTTCTGGCCCCAAATAAAAGAATATAATTTGGGCTCTTCTGAGGGAAGAGTCTTTGCTTTTCAGGCATAAACTACATAGTTACTAAAATAGAACGTTCTCCTGTGTTGACAGATCACAGTTCAGTTTGATGAGCCTAAAACTCCTGTCATTTCCCACAAACAGGGTATCAAGCCAGCCAGCCAGATCCCCTTTCCAAGTTGCTACATGGAGAACAATGGACAGTGGAGGATGCAATCCACAGTCAAATCTATCCGGGTGAGTAAGTAAAACCTGCAAGGATGGTGGCCAAGTCATATTCTATCTGTCAGAGGTGTCACAGCTGTGAGAATGTCTGAGGATATCTAAATGGAGCCGGCACATCTCTTTCTGCTCACATAAGAGCTCTGTTTCTTTCAAGGTATTTATAACAACATATACTATACCTCTTTATCTCTTCTTGGAGTTGGTCACTGTTTATTTCTTCTAGGTCTTGACTTTTTTCTCTAGGTTTCTTCTTTTTGGGACTTTCAAATCTTGCCATTCTTCCTGTAGTAGTGTTCCTACCTATGTCTTTTTCTTGTCTTGCTAGGAAATTCTGCTTTCCATGCCTTTCTTCCTTGAGATCTTCGATTTTCATACTGTCTTCTTACTGTATTTTCCTGCCCCTTTGCACAATGTTGCTTTCCCTTCCTAACATTTACCACCATTTTTGATTCTGTGCCGCTATGGCAATCTGGCCTGTTGCTTTCTATATTTCTCTTTCCTAAGCCTCTCTATCCCCACTCTGAGATCCTATAAAGGATTGTTTTTCATGTTTTATTTTAATCTCAACCCTATAAATTTTTATCATTCCAATTTCTTAAGCTCATGTTCTTTGTGGAGACTTTCAGGATTACATGTCTCTTAATGCTTCCTAACTTACATGTTTGTACTATATAATTACTCTTTTCCATGGCATCTCCTTGAATCTGTCCTGGCCACTGCAGAAGTACCTTGAAACATCCCACCTCCTCAGTTCCCTTAAAGTCTTTGCTCTTTATGTTGATTTTTTAAAAAATTCTCATTTTTTGTTTATACCCCAAACCAACTCATTGAGCTTCAGGCCTGCTTTGTTTTAATTTCCCCATGCAATTGTTAACTGTTCATTATTTTAGTTTTTTTTTTTTAAATTTTAGTTTGTTTTAAATGATATTATTGTACCCATTCCTGGAATGCTTTCCTTTTCTCATAGTCTGATAGAATTAAGTCCCAGTTAGTCATAGCAGTCATCTAAGAGAAATTTCTCTTCTGTCAAGTGATATTGCAGTCAAACCTCCATCTTGCTTATAGTGTTTGCTTTCCTCTTCCTTTTCCTGACTCAAAATCATCTACATTTAAAGCAGTCTTCACAATATGTTCTACATGTATGTGAATCTTTGTTTCATTACCTTAAATACTTTTTGATTGCCGTGTTTTTTATAACCTATTACATACTGTACCATCCTGACAACCGTGAACAATAAAAATTCTTCTTGGGATAACATTCTACAACAAGGAGGCAGAACAGTAATCAAAATAAATGTCTTAAACTGAACATGGTGTCTCACACCTGTAATCCTACCATTTGGGAGGCTAAGGTAGGAGGATTGCTGAGATTTCAAGGGCAGCCTGCACAACATAGGGACACTCTTTCAAAAATCCAAAAACAAGCAAATGTCTTGTGAAAAGTCTGAGAAGATCAGTAAAACAGCATAAAGGAATAATGTGAGAGGGGGCTGGAAGTGGTACTTTAGGACAGGAATGGCTGTTTGGGAAGGTGTGTTTGAGCAGTGGTATGAGACACATGAGTAGGTCAGTTGGCTGAATTACTCTCCATGTAGATAAAATAGGAAGTTCAAAGGCCCAAAGAAAGTATATGTTTGAGGAACTTGAAGGAAGCTTCTTGGAGTAAAAAGAGTCGCAGTGGCTGGAGATAAGATCAGTGTGGTAGTTGCTAGAGTTAAGGGTAGACAGGTCACGTAGAAACTTTCAAGGACTTTTTACTTTTAAAAAAGATGAGAAACATGAGGGAGTTTTAAGTAGAGGATGACATGTTATAATTTATATTTAAAAGATCAAGTTGATTCTTTTATAGTAGGAAGAAGAGGTGAAATCCACATGGGAGACTATAGCTATAGTACCAGACATGGTAATTGTCTTTGACTTGAGTAGAGAGGGTGAATGTTAATAGTTTCTAAATATATGTACAAAGGAGGGAAGATGAAATTTTCTATTGATGTTGACAGAGGGTGTGAAAGAAATTAAGGACTGTGGTAAGGTTTCTGGCATGAGTCCCATTTCCTGAGATGAAGATAATGGACAGAAAAGGAGATGTAGGCTGAGAAATTCGGCCTTCTGTTTTGGAAACTGTAATTTAGACATGCTTCTTCACCTTTACATAAGTGCTCTCTGCTGTTGTAGGATGTCCCAAACATAGAAGAGGTTAGGACTAGGGACAGAAATGTGCACTAGGTGAAATCTTCTGTAATGAGAGCACAGATAAAGAAGTTTGGACAAGTAGTGATCAGAAAAACAAGTATTTGTTAAATGAATAGTTTTCTGTTGGGTCTACCAACACCTATTCTTCTGAGTCCATTTGTGTTGGATTTGGGGTGACAGTCTGGGCTGGTCAATACATGAGTGTAAGTGTAAGTAAACCCTCTTGAGCCTAGTTTATGAACCACAGTCCTAACAGGCTAGAGATTGGATTTACAGAGAAATACAATTTTTCAGGAATAAGATTTTAGTAACAATAGAGGACAGATCTATATGTAATACATAAAAGTTCAGCTACTGGATTTGAGGCATCCTTTGCTACAGTTCACAGCTATAGAAAATAAATTATCCAGATAAGCAGTAAGAATAGGGAATGCTTTAGAAATTTATGGAAACAGAGATTGCAGTCACCTAGAAGGGGGAATGATAGTATGATTTATAAATGAGGCATATTTAGGATTTGAATAAAGAAGATGAAGGGCGAGGAAAGAAGGGGATGTATATATACAGTAACTATGTGGAAGCAATAGATATGTTAAGTAGCTGGATTCTGTAGATGATTATTTTACAATGTGTACATACAGCAAAACATCAAATTAGACTTTAAATATATTCAGTTTTTATTTGTCAGTGACCTCTCCAGAAAGCTATTTAAAAAAATGTAGATGTGACGTTGGAAATATGCAATTCCTTGTGAGGAGCTGTCAAGATATTGGCTTAAACCTGGCCTTGAACCTGGAAGCTAATTGAGTATAAACATGGGGGTAAAGAGATTAACCATCCAGATGTTTATGTGTAGCAGAGATAGAGTTGAGGTGTAAGTTTGTTTTGTGTCATTCTTAGAAATACAGTCTTACATGTTATATGTGTACCAAGTACAGAATGAGACTGAAAAGGTGATAGTTGCAGCAGCACATGTTCTGGAGACTATGTGGTCTGAATTCCCTGGAGAATCAGTATTTTTATTTTTGATACAGAAGAATATTTCATAACAATCTAAAATGTTGACATGTTTTTTACAGAAGTGTTCCTTTAAATGTGAAATTGATGCTTTGGGTAATTTGGTTTAATAGTAGTCTATAGAACGAAGGATTAAAGGAGTAAGATGACCACCCAAGAACTTATTAGTTATCTGGAAATCCAAAGTTGAATTTACAACTTACCTCTTTTGGAATATGATTCCTAAAACCTATATCATAATATGTCTGCTTATTTCCCTGGTCATTGTAGTGTTTGATAACCTCAGTGGGCTTTTCTAAATCCAAACTAAATATTGCAGCAATCATAAGCTTGAGGTTAATAAATGACTTTATCTTGTTTGATTGTTTTTCCAAATATCTCATCCAGTCACCTGTTTATTGTGCTGGTAATTTCTACTTTTCCCATTATTAATAATGGTAATTTTCATTATTTCCAGGCAAGACCTTTCTCAATTTATGTATTCAATTGGATTTTTCATGCCTATATTTGAGTATTTAAAACCCATCTCAAGGATGATACTCTTTAAAATGCCACTTGGTTTCCCCAGTATTTAGAACCTCAGCATTATTCCCCATCTCATGAAAATGACACTATTTCATTATCTACCAGCAGTAGCTCAATTCACATAATTAGGTATAATCTTTAATTCTTCACTTTTATTAATCACCCAATATTGAAACCATGGGTGAACCATGTCTTTTCTTTCTCCAGATTGTATCCTGATTTCCTCCACTTTCCTCTTCACTGCTCCCATCAACCACTTTTCATAATTTGTACCTACATTCTATCTATATTTCATCATTTTTTGTTGTTTTTCCTGAGAATAGATGCTCAGCGAATAGGAGGATGTTATTATATCAATATCACCAGTATAATGCTTGGTACAGTCCTAATTTAATAAGGGTTTGTGCATATATGAATATGCGCTTCAGCATTTTTAAAGAAATACTCTTTAACTTCTACCATCTAGTGGTAATGGTGACTTAAATTTATATTATTATCTTAGTGTACTTTGTAAAGTCACTTTTTTTCTTTTTTTTTAAAGTCACATTTAAATAGAAGCTAAATTTTTATTTAGCACTAACCTTATTTATACTCTGCTCTTACTTTTTAAGTTACTGTGTTTTTGACTTGTCCAAATGATAATGAGCATATCCACTGGGAATTTTTTTAACTTGGGGTAATAGTGTTACCAATAAAGAACCAATCTTGGGAAGTAGTTTTATTCTGTTCTATGCTCATGGAATGATTTTTTGTTATTATCTTTCCTAGAAATCCAGAAAGTTGATATACAGGTACGCTCACAAACTCAAAGATGGCTGAAGAGAACAGAACGCCATAAACATAATGCATTTGGAAATGTCGTTCGTCAGAGGAAAAGCAATTTCCTTTTAATGCAGAATCATGATATATATGACTTACATGAGAAAACACTAAAATCAAATTTAAGTGCAGTTAAACAGAACAGAAGCTATCAAGTAAAGAACCCTGTTGAGATTAATGGAGATGGAAAATCATTCCTCCATGCCAAGCATGAAAAATTTCATACTGAAATTAAATTCCCAGAATGTGAAAGTTCTGTGAATACAAATTCATATCGGAGAATTCAAAAGACAGCTCAACCCCATGTGTGCACTGAATGTGGGAAGGCCTTCCTCAAGAGGTCTCGCCTCATTGATCACCAGAGAGTTCATACAGGAGAGAGACCTCATGTATGCAATGTATGTGGGAAAGGCTTCTGCAGAAAGTCCAAGCTCACTGAACATCAGAAAACTCATATACGAGAGAAACGGTATGAATGCACTGAATGTGACAAAGCATTCCCCTGGAAGTCACAGTTCATTGCACATCAGAAAATTCATACAGGAGAAAAACCCTATGTATGCAGTGATTGTGGAAAGAGTTTCATCAAAAAATCTCGACTTATTAATCATCAGCGAGTTCATACAGGGGAGAAGCCTCATGGATGCAGTCTGTGTGAGAAAGCATTCTCCACCAAGTCCAGGCTCATTGAACATCAGAGGACTCATACAGGAGAAAAACCCTATGAATGTGCTGAATGTAACAAGGCATTCCGCTGGAAATCACAGCTCAGTGCACATCTAAAAACTCATACAGGAGAGAAACCATATATATGCAGTGATTGTGGAAAAGGCTTCATTCAGAAAAGCAATCTGACTGTACATCAGCGAACCCATACTGGAGAGAAGCCTTACACATGCAATGAATGTGGAAGAGGCTTCATCCAGAAGGGCAATCTCCTTATACATCAGCGTACTCATACTGGAGAGAAACCTTATGTGTGTAATGAATGTGGGAAAGGCTTCAGCCAGAAAACATGCTTGATCTCACATCAAAGATTTCACACAGGGAAAACACCTTTTATATGTAATGAGTGTGAAAAATCCTATTCACACAAGTCAGGTCTCATTAACCATCAGAGAATTCACACAGGAGAGAAGCCCTATATGTGTGGTGACTGTGGGAAAGCTTTCAGATATAAGTCATGCCTCAATAGACATCGGAGAACTCATACAGGAGAGAGACCCTATGGGTGCTCTGATTGTGGGAAAGCTTTCTCCCACTTGTCCTACCTTGTTTATCATAAGGGAATGTTGCATGCAAGAGAGAAATGTGTTGACTCAGTGAAGTTGAAAAATACTTTCTCAGAGAGTCACAGCTTATCACAAAGAAGTGATCTACAGGAGAAAAATCCTATTAGCATGGTGATTGTGCAGAAGCCTTCTGAGACTTCATTAAACAACAGTGAGTTTCAAGCAAATAGGAATAGAGCCATTGTGGGACAGAGATCCCAGATTTTCACCCTTAGCAGAGAATATAGCTCATGAATATAGCTTAGTGAATGTAATGGTGCTTTTAGTGATCGAGTACATCACATTTTATGTCATAAAAAACACAAAGGAATAAACCATGATACACTTAAGGTAGAAGACCCTTGAGTAAAACCTAGCTCACTGTTGGCCAGTAAGTGTATGCTGAGAGAAAAACAGTATGAATGCAGAGACCAGGAAAGTCTTATGGGAAGATAGACCCTATCATCAGTGATGATGGATCACAGAAAATGAGCTGTTGTAGAAATATGTTAAGCATGGAAAAGTCCTTGCCCAGAAATAAGTTCTCTGCAGGCATCAAGAGTGCATGCAAAATAGAAATGGTTGGAAGACCTTTGATAGCAGCAAATGTGGCAGGGTTGCCAGTGGTATGTTCTGCCTCAGTTGTCAGAGAAAATAATACAGAGATAAAACTGAATACACTAACTGGAACATCTTCAGCAAAATATCAAAGAAGCAAATAAGCCCAGTGAAAATGAAGAATAGTTCAGACAATTCTGTCACAAGTCTAAATCATTATAGATAGTACATGATTTGCATTTTAGGACAATATACCTTAAACGAACCTCTTGGTCAGTATATTAGTGGCTCCTTAATTAAAAGAACGTGATTTGCATTGCACCTCATTGGTCAAAGTTACAACACTACGCACCTCTCTTCCCCTTTTTTTCTGGCATGAGTCTTCTGTTTCCACCCAGGACCATTATATGGTTAACACTTGTATTTCTTTGGTTCTAAGAAATGAAGTCCTTCAAAAGGAAATGGAATATGCTTAATTCAGTAATGTAATGTGTAGATGTGTTTATCATGTCAGGGAATGAAGTTCCCAATGAGTATGGAATGAGTAATCAATTAGCCACATTCTTACCCTAGAAAGTAGTTCTCATCCTCATCCTATGGTTTGTCTCATTACTGGTAAACACCATTGAGAGAAATTTTTATCAACTATATTACCTGGTGCTGTTCTAGAAAGTGTAGGTGATGACTGATGAACAAAACAAAAGCTCTTGCTATTTTTGAGTCACCATTTCATTTAAACTAGATTATATGCATGTCAAAATTTTATCCTGCAGCTGGGTGTGGTGGTGGTGGTGGTGGCCTATAATCCCAGCACTTGGGAGGCTAAGGCAAGAGGATAGCCATGAGTTTAATGGTAGCCTAGGGTACATAGTGAGACCTTGTCTCCAAAAAATGAAAATTTACCCTCCAGTGCATGTACTTAAAGGATGTATATAGCTATACTACATGCCGTGGTGTCAAAGTATCCTTATAAGTTCTTGTTCAAGGAGCATATTGTCCTTTGAAGTGGGAGGGAGAAAGGATTAATTTTACATACAACAGGATATGGATACGTCTTCTAAAATGAGCCTATCTCTGTACCTAAATTATAAATTCCTGCATACTTTGCAGATAATTGTATATTCCCCAGTACATAGCAAAATAGAAATTATATGTAGAGTTGGAAGGTAAATGGAAGTGTATGAATGACTTAATAGACTAATCAAAATAACTTCTCATGGAAAGAAAGGGGCTAGTGGAAAGAAATTCTAAGAATCAGTATCCCCCTCTAAAAAACCCCCAAGATTGGTGAAGATGTGAACCTTTTGGAAGTCTTGAAGAAAAATCCTTATATTTATCCATGGACCTATCAATTTTGACTATTGCCATGATCTCAAAACTCCAGGCTCCACTGACCTGCTGAGTTGGGAAATGTGCTTTACCTTCATCATTTGCCCTTGTCATCTCTCCTATACACAGTTCTTTCCCTTAATAAAGCTAGGCCTAGCTTGGAAACAATAAGTCCTATTTCTAAGGAAAAAGTGGAAATTTGCTATAAAGTTGCTGTCTCACAGTGGAATCTCACATTCTGGGCTAGTAGGTAATTTGGTATACTGTATTGTTACTGAGTACCAACATTGTGTCAGGCATTATAGACACTAGTGAACAAAATAGGCAAAGTAATGGCCTATATCTGATTGCATTCAAGAGAGATGCTCTGTAGCAAATAAGAAATGAACTCCTCAACCCAGATTTCAGATCCTCTTATGTCTTGTGATTCTACACATCCTGTCATATCATTCATATATTCCCTCAAGTCATCAGCCAGTGTCCCCAAATGGGCTGCCCTGAGGAGCAGATGCTGAATTTATGCCAGGTAAATACAAAATTTTAACTAGACGATTCCAAGGTGCCTCTTTAAAGAAGGCAGTGCCGAGTTACATTCTTTACTGCTTTACCTCTTTCATAAAAACTATGGCTAATATTTGCCAAATACTGGGTTATTTAGTCATGTAATAGTTTTACATGCTCCGTGCCCATCTTCATGTGTTTTAGGAAAACAACTGGTTGCATCTGAAGTCTCATCCTTATCTCCTACCTCCATATTCTGCAGCTGTACACACACACACTACTTGGGATAAATATTCGCATCTCTTGGTGGACACGCTAAGCATCAACTGCTTTTTCTACTCTGGCCGTTGCCTCTCCATCTTCCTCAGACCCCGTCTTGCACAAATCTTGCAGGTTCTCCAGAGGTGCTTCCAACGGTGAGGCCACCAGGATATTCCCAGGTTTGACCTAAGCACTCGAAACACTGTAATCCCCTAAGAAACCCACGTGGATACATCTCCCACAGAGAGCGCACAACCATCAGACTGCTAACATCCGTATACCTCTTCTAGTAACTTCCGCAATAAACGCAGTGATTAAGGTGCCTTGAAGTCAATTCAGTATGTAGCTCCCACATCGCTGAACTGCAGCAGCCATCAACATCCACATGGGCGGGTCCTAAAGCTCCGATGGGCGTGACCATGACGTCAGAATGCCGACCTTGCGCAGACTCAGAGTTACCAGACTGTTTTCCACCTGACGCCCGGTAGCTCAGCGTCGCTAGGGAGAGCTGAGAGTCTGTACAACAGTAAGCGCCATACTCGGGTTATTTTGGAAGAGAGTTCGGCCTTTGGTCTTTACTAGTGGGGTCTGGAGGGACTCAATATTAGGTGTGTCTGGTTCCAGGCGTGGCTTGGCAGTAGTCTGAAGGGAAGCGGAAAGCATATTCTAGAACCATGCAGGACCTGAGATAGAGTTTAGTGTTTGGGGAATCTTGGCTTTGGTGATAGAGCCATAGGGAGTCAGTGATTAAGAGTTTTAAGGTAACGATGGCATACAAATGTCAGGGTTTATGGTCATTGAAGGTCATTCTGTGTGATTAAGTGGCTGAGAATTGGGGTAGGAAGTGTGTATCGGTGAAAGCAGTGTATAATTCAGATTAGCAATTCACTGTGGGGCTCAGTGACAGAAGCTTGGGATGAGAGATGTTAATGAAAAGAGGTTTCTGTTTTAGGTTTCAGAAATAATTTGGAGTCTGTGCTAGAGGCTCAAATGTGTTTGAGGCCTAATGAAGCTAGAGTTTTGGAGGCCCAAGGTCCCCAGAGAATGAGTGAATTGAGGCTCAAACATTGGCTGCTGGTAACAGTCATGATTAAAGCTTTTTAACAAGGTGATTCAAATCCAGTTCAGTTCTTCAAACTTGAGCCCAGCCTCCAGATGCCAAAGAAAAGCACTTGTAGTCTTAGATTATTATTCTTTTTGTCTCCAAATTTCAGAAAGTTGTGTTCATAAGATTATTAAAGAAATGTGGTATTTCTTTTTCTTTTTAAAAAAATCTATCTCACTACCCACTAGAAACAAAGAGAATAGAACCAACCAAGTGAGTAAAAAGAGCCTTTTTTTCTAGGACCAAGACTTTCCCCTTTGTTGGGGAATGCTGTTAGTTGCATGGTGAAGAATTGCTGTTTTAGGAAGACTGAAATGGGAATAACTCAGATGTCACATCTCCATAGGTACAACAAGTAGAATGTGAAGGTGACAGTTTTTACATCCTATTTAGAAGCATATCTGCTTCTAGAAAAGTCTACAGAGAAGTGTGGGTCACTGCCTCCTACAGCTTTCTCAAATCACCATTGTTTTCCACCTTTTCCTCTCTTTAAAATATGTAAGAATTGCCCACAGCAAAACCAAAGAATGGGTATTGAGAACAAGTTTCCCTTTAAACGTGAAATTAGTGGTTTGAGAAAATAGCTTGACATTACAGAAGGAAGAAAATGGATAAATTTTAGAAACAGTGTACATATACATGTTGAAATCAAATATTGAAGATTTGACATTCTGACTGCCTCTTTAAGATACTTATTTAAAACAAACATCTCTTTTCCTGATGCGTTCATTCTGCTGTGCTTCCTGGGGTTGTGATCCTCATTGTCTATTCCTAGGATATTGTCTAAAAATTTCTGGAGTGCTGGTTTGGTATTCATGAAGTTTCTAAGTTGCTCTTTGTCATGAAAGTATCTTATTTCTCCATCAATTTTGAAAGAGAGTTTTGCAGGGTACATCAGTCTGGGTTAGAGGCTGTTTTCCTTTAGGGCTTGGAATACATCACTCCAAGCTCTTCTTGCCTTGAGGGTTTGCATTGAGAAGTCAGCTATGATTCTGATGGGTTTTCCTTTATGTGATTTGTTTCTTTTCTCTAACTGCTTGTAGAACTTTGTTCTTCTGTTTAGTTTCTAGAATCTTAACAATTACATGCCTGTGTGTAGGTTTTTTTTTTTTTATCAAGGCTAGCTGGAGTCCTATATGCCTCACTTATCTGTATGTCAAGTTCTTTACCCCTACTTGGGAAGTTTCCTACCATTACTTCTGTGAACAGTTTTTTTATGTCATCTGAACTCTCTCCTGTTTCTTCGTTGACTCCAATCAGTCTTATGTTATTCTTCTTTGCATCATCTAGCAGCTGCTGGATTGATTTCTCATGTTCCCTTACAATTTTGAAGCAATTTTCTTTTCCTGATCACTAATTGCAATCTTATCTTCTCTATCTGAAATTCTGTCCTCACATTGGCTCATTCTGCTGTGTAGATTTTCAGTGGAGTTTTTGATCTCCTGGAAATCTATTTGTATCTGTTTGATGGATTGCATTTGTTTCCTGTGTTCGAATTCCATCATGTCCCTCAGCTCCTCTGTAGATTTATTAATCATGTCTTGCACTATGAGCAAAATTTCTGTTATCTGAGAAATTATTTCTGATTTCATTTTTTCCAGATCCTCTTTTGTTGCCAGTTCCAGGAGTCCAGGTGGTTGATTATCAGAGTGTTCCATCTCATTTCCCTTTGGGGTTGCTGTAGGTGATCTGGAAGTCTGGTTTTGAGACTTGTTCACATGTCTTATTTTGACGGGGGGGGGGGCTGCTCACCTCCTCTGAGCTGGGAGGTGGGACAGCAGCTCAGAAGCCTCTTCCTCTAGGCCGGGAGTGGAGGGATGGACCAATAATACACTTTTAAAGTCAGTTCCCACTTATCTCGTGACTAATGTAAAAATCATAGGAATAAACCTTAATTCTTCACTTTATCTTTCCATCTTGTATTAATTGGCAGTCTTTCTCCATAGTATGTGGTGTAATCAAGACATATGATGAATGTTTACATTTTACAAAATTAATTATGATAAAAGACACTGCAATGAATCCTTCTCAAAAATAACCCTTTATACTTTGAACACATATCCTATTGTTTTTGGTATTTTCTAAAGCAGTTCTGGCAATCCTCTGTCTTGAGACTCTTTATGCACCGTGTCTCAATGTCCTGAACAGATTCAAAACACGTGTGACAGTTTCTGTCAAATAAAAACAGTACAGTAGGTCCTCATCTATCCATCCACAGGATCTAGCAATGTTTAGAATCAATTCAGGACATGGAGGCAACTACAATAACACAGCTAAAGACATGAAAGAGGACTTCCAGAACTGATTTGTAAAGTTGCAAAAATTACAAAAGAAGTTATTGAAAGCAAGAGAGAGTACTTTGATGGGAGATTAATGGCAATGTATCTTTTATTGTAATAAATTTTTTAAAAATTTAAACATTCACCATAGTTTTTGGTCACACCTTATATATCCTCATTTCTGCTTCTCTCCAGCACCTTTGCTTCTCATAATTTTCAGATGCCCCATTTTCTTTGCTTGTTTTTTCCCCCTTTATTAGGATGTAAGCTCACTGAAAGTAAAGACTATTTGTACTTCTCCATCAGTATCATAGCCATAATAGGAAGTTGATAAAGAGTTTATAGACTAAAGGCAGCCCACCTTGCCTTGAATCAGGTTTTCCTTCTTTTTTTTTCACCTAATGAAGACTTTCTTGCATTTCACTCTGTATATTTCATAAGTTGCTAATTACAGTGTAACTAATCTATATTCATTGTTAATTATTTACACTTGGTTTCTGTACTTACTCCTTTGTTGCTTGATTTGTATGTATCGTGTTTTTACCAAATGGCCAAGAAATAAGAAGCATTGATAAAGATTCTTTTATAGTGAGCCATGCAGGGAACAGGGAAAGGGGATGTTACTAGAACCTCCGCAGTAAGTCTTAGTCTCCTGAGAGCCGTGGCAGCACAAGGCTAATTACAGGAAAGGTAGAAAAATGAGACTTTGAGAAGCTGAGCTTTGGGTCTGATCAGTGCTGCTCTGGGAAGCAAAGACGAAAGCCCCCAGCTTACCGCACCTTTTATTCAGTACATCAGGAGAAACAAATGTAACAAGTGACTTGCAGAGAGTTCAGTACATCCGGGTAAACAAGATGTAACAATCCAAGAACAAAAAGGAACTGAGTAGATGAAGATTTTGTTCCTTCCAGGATGTCTTCTGCTGGTGTAATCTTGTCCTGGAGAATCACAGCCTCACGGGATCATTGAGGTCTCAGTTGTGACTGGAGGCCAAAATGGAATTATGTCTTGGAATTCCATAGGTGGGCTGTAGGCAGAAGAACTAGGCTAACCAAATGATTTTACCCTAAAATTATGTAGCATTGCTCCTGACAGAGGCAACCCATACCAGGGCACACATTATTCTCTTCTTTCCTAGAAAGCAAGAAAGCTAATGATCATCAGCAGGGACACTTGCACAACCAAAAAATATATATATATGTGAAAAGAATAATGCCATGAACATAATGGTTTAAAAAGTATTATTCTTCTGAGTCATTTTCTGTTAAGGCAAAATCATGGAAAAACTGAAATTAAGTTAAATCAACCAGAACAGAAGCAATGAAATAAGCAATCCTGCTGAATGTGATCTAGATGGAAATTCTTTTTCATGGAATGAACAAATTCATACAAAAGTTAAATTTCTTCAAGTTTAAGTGGAAAATCCATCATCATTAAGTCTCATTAATCATCAGAAAGTTCAAAAACCTGGGAAACCTCACGTATACACTAAATATGGAGAATTTTTAACTAGATAGTCTCAGCTTATGAAACGTCAGAGAATTTGTCTAAGACAGAAACTCCATGCATGCAGTATATGTGAGAAAACAAATGCTACAAAGTCCAGGCTCATTTAATACCAAACAGTTATTTTAGGAGAGAAGCTCTATGAATGTGCTGAATGTAACAAGACTTTTTTTTGTATTAGGGATCAAACTCAGGACCTTGCGCTTGCGAGGCAGGCAAGGCGCCACTGAGCTAAATCCCCAACCCTAATGAGGCTTTTTATAGGGAATCAGAACTCATTAAACATGAGGGATTCAAAAGAAGGGGGAAAACATTAATGCACTGAATGTGGCAAAGCCTTTCTCATTAAATTACATCTCATTTTATATCATAAAACTCATAAAACTAAGAGTGGAGAGAAACTCTAGTATGCAGTGATTGTGGGAGAGGCCCCATCCAGAAGTTCGATTTCCTTGTATATTGGAAAACATGCTGTAGAAAAAAAAAATATACAGTAACTGGGGAGGTTTTATTCGAAAGACTTAACTTCACAGTACATCAGACATTTCAAAAAAGAAAGATTGCCTTTGTGTGTAGTGAATGTGGGGAAATTTGTTCACAGGGCCATGTCTTATTAAACATCAGAAAATTCACACAAGAGAAAAAGCTTATGACTAATTAAGCGTGGCAAAATCTTTGTCATGAAGCAACAGCTCACATAGGAGAGAGAGCTAATAATGCCTTGCGTGGGAAAGCATTTGTACAGAAATCTTGTTAAACATGAGAAAACACATACAAAGGAGAAATGTGTTGATTAATTGAAGGTAGAAAGTCCTTCTTAAAGTCACAGTTCCTTATAAGTGATGTCCTGGTAACACATAAGAAAATCCCTACTAATTCATTACTTACGCAAATAACTTCTGTAACTCCCCAGCCATCATCAAATATCATTGGGCTCCTATCAGATAAGAACAGGTCTTGGTTCAGTAAGGATCTCCTTCTAAGAAACCATGAACCTATTTAGAAAACAAGATATAGAAATTTGGCATGCAATGTCTTAAGAGTTCTATCCTAAACCCTGTATTTACCAGGTAATTTATTCTCAATAAATATTTTAAACACCAAAATGAGTGGGCCACCTCAATACTTGGAATTTTATTTTAAAATACAGTCATTAAGTAATTAAAAACAGGAAAATTTTTTTTGGTACCAGGGATCGAACTCGGGGACCTTGCACTTTCGAGGCAGGTGGTGGCACCACTGAGCTAAATCCCCAGCCCTAAAAACAGGAAACTCTTGTGATTAATTTTTGTTTTACAAAGATCTCCTTTTCTGCTCTATAGAGACTAGATAGTACAAAGCTAATGGAGAAAGTCATGACAATTCTAGTATTTCAGATGAAGGACTGGATCTGTTTAGTAACGATGGAGGATGAGATAGTTGGATTTGAGATAACTTGAAGATAGAACTGATTTCCTGCTTTGACTTGTGGTTACCTATCAGGTGCATTATGAAAATCATAATGTCCTATGGCAGTGGTGGTGAACCTATGGCATGTGTTCCACAGCGGCCTGTCTATATCATGAAAGCTCTAAAACGTTTGCCATCACTGGTCTATGGGGTTCCACAATGTACAAGCAAGTTGGCAAACTTGGGGTCATTATACCACAGCCTGTATTCTCAAGATCTTTGATTTTTCAGGGAGAGTGAGGTTTCTAGGTCAGATCTGAGGGGAGAAGAATATGAGTGAAACCATTGCTACAAATGCCTTGTAAAGAACTCTTGAAATAGTGCGGATGCATAGACTATGAGAAATCCAGTTTTTTTTAAATCTTAAAAAAAAACAACAGATGCTTATAGTTCCATTTGCACCATCCAAAAAACCTGAAATAACTCAAATATCCACCAGTTGATTGAACCCATTTTGGGACACCTATATATTCATTGTTTAACAACCTGTTTGATGACTGGATTTAAACCAGGTGCGCTGTTCAGACTTACAAACTGCCATTTGGATTTATGACCTGTTTTTTTGTTTTGTTTTGTTTTTGGTACAATTCTGTATATCTTGTTTTAACAGCCTCAATGCCTTTTTTGCACAGTATGCCTTGTATGTACAGTACTGCAAGTTTTGCTGATTGTACAGTACAGTATATATAGTATAGTTATAGTCCCATTATACATTACAGCACTCCATGTAGGAGTTATGCAAATAAGAGCAAAGTCATCAAGTTGGAGTTTCCTTTGATAATTTCTTCATTTTGAATATTGTAATGTACATACTATACACAATTCTTCATTTAGCAACTAATTCAATGAACCACCTAGCCACAGGAACGTAGCTCCATAATTAAATGAGGAGTGTCTGTAAAATGGAATACTAAGCAACAAGTAAACTATTGAACCACAAAAGTTGATGATTTGAAAATAATCATGCTGTGTGTAAGTAGCTGGATTTTTTTAAAAAAATAACACACTGGATGATTCTATTCATAAAATGCAGACTATAGCAACAAAAGACCAGTTCCTGGGATGTGTTCTGTACTTGAACAGGGTAGAGGCATGATTGGGAGGACACTGGAAAACTGGTCATCACTGTGATCAGTGCATCCTCCATACCATCTTTTTCTAGGCCTTGTTTTCTTCTAAAGTCATTTCCATCTGTCAGGTCCACTCAAGAGCTCACCAGAGAACATTTGTTATGCTGTACTGACACCGCACTTCCCTTATGATGGCCATGTCCATAGTTTTCCTACCTAACGGCCCAAATGCTACATGGCTAGAGCACACCACCAGCTTTTTTGGCCCTGCTTGCTTTTTTATGTGGCCTCTAAAATGTTTCACATGTAGAGTAGTGACTGAGGTGCCAAACATCATTTTAACTTGCCACTGAACTCAGACATCACAGCCTTAAAGACTTCTAGGAATGCATGTGGCGCCTTTGCGGTGAGACAGCAAAATAAAATGGCTAACAGATGGGACACCAGTCTAGTATAATGTTGGCCTTGAGCAGTTTTTTTTTTCAGCCCAAGCAAATTCCTTCTTGGCCAACCCTGCCCTGAACTGATACATATTCCAATTATGTGCCACCCTTATCTAGTCGACCCTACCCTGAACTGATGTTTATTCCAAATATCTGTCACCCTTATCTAGTTGACCGTACCCTGAACTGTTTTCTAACCGAAGTTTGAACTTGCTATAGACCAATCAGTAATAATGATAACATATGTAACCAATCAACCGCTTGCTCTGCTTCTGAACTTAGTTCCTGTTATGCCACTCGAGCAAGAAAATCACCAAACACTGGGACAAAGACAAAATTAAAACTGAAAGGAGTTTATTCACGCGCGTGGACTCCACCCTCTAAGAGGAGTGAAGTCCCCAGGCAGGGAACAGCACAGCTAAAAATTTTACAGGTAGTTCAAACAAAGAAGTTCAGGGAGAGGTCAACATGTTTTTTAACCAGCTGCAAAATATTTTTCACAACCCGGCTATTTTGTCAAGATAGGACATTCTGTGGTTACAGGGTTCGGTGGTTACAGGGAGGCACCAGGCACCATCTGTTCCCAGGGAGCGATAAAGCATATTTACAGAAGCAGGGCGAGCGGTTATAAGGGCGGTTACAAAAATACATCTTTAGGAGAATTCCAGCACTCTGCAAGGGGAGGGGTATGAGGGGAGTTCACTCACAGGCCAAGATGGCTTGCTTAGGTTCACTTTTGGTCTCACAGTTCCTACTTACAAAAACCCTATATAAACTGTAGAAGAACAAAAAGCAAGTTGCCTGGTTCTTTGAGGAACTACCCCGACCAGGCCCGTCCATGTAAATAAAGTTTGCTTTCAGCTTCCAAGTCCTAGGTGCCTTTTGGTGTTTCCCGTTTGCCGTTACAGCGGTGGTGGCGAGTTCTGGCCTTTGAAACTTGAGTTAATTGCCGCAGGCGACTAGAAGCGATCGTCTTTCGGTGCTCGGTGGGATTTACCCAAACGCCTTGTTTGCCTTGTGCGACCAAGAGCCTGGACGATCTCTCCCACTTTCCGTTAGAGGGTAAGCACCTGGAGAGGGACCCTTTCATTGTTCTCGCAGGGTCACTCCCGCTGGCCTTTCAATTTGGAAAAACGTCCGCTGTGTCTCCTGTGCGTCAGGCTTCACACATGGCCGCGCCAAGGACGCGGGTTCGACGTCATCAGGAAGCGCCGGAAGGGCGCCTTCTGTTGTGGGTAGAGACACCGCCCTCCGTAGTAACCTCTGCGGGAGAGGGGGCGGGGCGTGGAGGGCCAGACCTGGAAGTTAGGGAAGTGAGTTCAATCCGTAACTGGTCGCTGCGGGTTCTAGAGAGTCTGGTGGAAGTGTAGGTCAGCCCTGTAGAAAAGGCTGGGGAGGGAGCATTCCGTAGGCGTCTACGTAGGAGGTTGTTGCTTTCCTGCAGTGGGAGATACCGCAGGGGGTAGAGGGGAGCTCGTAGGAGTCCATGGGGCGCCTGTAAATGTGGTCAGTCTTTGTGGTCGGTCATAATGGGTTCTGGTTGTTAGTGATTTAAAAATCTGAACCTACCAGCAGCCAAGAGTCCTGAGGTCAGGGATACGGGTCTTCGGGGGTCACTCGGTCTGTAGGACTCAATGATTGAGAATTTGGGGTGGTGTTTGCCAGGGAATATGGCCCTTGGTTAGGGTTATGGATTAAGTGGGAGCTCCGTGACCCAGGAACTGTTAAGGGAGGTCAGTGTACGTTTGAATCTAGTCCAGATTTTGGTATTAATCCGATGGAGTGGTGGTCACTATCTTGTGCATAGATTTAGAAAGTGGAGTCTTGGAGGCTCAGAAGTCCTGGCTAGTGAGTGTGTTGAACTCAGACTTTGGCTGCCGTAACACACTAAATTGACGTTAACATTTCCCCAAATATTCAGGTTCAAGTCCCTCCTCCTCCAATTTTCTAATCCTCTTGTTTTCCCACATCGTCCAATCTTCTTGAACATTCAGAAGTTAAAATTTGGGGGAGAGGATAGTTCAGCATATTTTAATCTAATAGGCTATTTAACAGTCTTTTTATCTGTTTTTAAAATTTACTGAATATTTCCTTTCAATTCCATATGTGAGTATAAAGATTGTTATTCAAGTGCTTATTTATTTTTAATTTTTTGAGACAAGGCCTCACTGTGTAGTTCAGGCTGGTCTCAAATTCCTGGTTATCCTCCTGCCTTAGCCTTCCAAGTACTGGGATTATAAGCATGTGCCACCACGGCCTATATATACACACATAAAAAATATATACATATTTATATATACATATATAAATATACACATAAATATATTATATATTACATAATATAATATTTATTATAATATATAAGTATGTATATAATATATAAAAATATGTGTGTATATATATATTTTGTGGTGGTGGTATTGGGGATTGAACCCAGGATATTCATACTGAGCTATATCCTCAGCCTCTTTTTAAAATTTTGAGAGAGGGTCTTGCTGAGTTGCCCAGTTTGGGATCAAACTCCCGATTGTCCTGGCTTCAGCTCAGAATGCTGGGATTACAGGCATGCACTACCATGTCCGACTTTTAAATTATTTTTTAAATTTGTAGCTCAGTGGTTTTTTTTTTTGGTGTCCAGTTTTTCATTTTGCAGTCTGGGTATATAGAGACTTTAAAGAGTTATGAAGGCAACAAACTTTAAAGGAAAAAAATTATAGTTCCTTGTTGTCTTTCTGACTTCATTTCTAAAATTGATCTGAGAATTACCTGTGAATGAGATATGGTGCTGGGCTAATTCTCCTTTGGCACCTACATTTTCACATTTGTACTACTTCCACACTCGAAAGAAGAAAGGCAGTCCTTCCTTGCATTCAAAGTTTTATGGTTTGCTTGGTCTGAGGTATGAAATTGTCTGGAGATCCAAGTAAAGAGAAACACTTAGGGTGTGTGTTAAGGTAAGTGCACAGCAAGAGGGGATATAACCTTGAAAGTTGTTTTACTCTTCATTCTGCAGGTCCTGGCCATTCTGGGAAGGGATAAGAAGTGAATGAAGAAGACTTCTAGGACCTACATATCATTTCTGGAGACACCCTTCATCAGTGACTGAGATTATTAGGGCATCTACAGAAGAGACAGAGTATCCCAGTTGACTCTTTTCCTAAATAGAAGAAAATGACCAATGTACAGGTGACTTGTCTTATTTTATTCTCTCCTTTATTTGCTAACGGATTTGCAAATGTCTATAAAAATCATTTCAGGAATTATCTAGAGAGAAGTAAGTTTTGTGTCTAACATGGCAAAATAGGATCAGGAAGATGGTGTTCATATGATTTCCACTAAATGACTGATGTTGGAACATGTGTAACAGAATCCTGTGGGTAGTGGTAGTTTTCAGCTTGTGCCTAATATCTCTGAAGCCAGCACCACAAGAGGATCATGCTAAGCTATATGATACACAGTGACTGTGAGGAACAAAAAAACAGGTTCCTGAGGAGATGGCAGTACATATTTTGTGGTACTTAGGAAATTCACCCAAGGGACCTAGCCTTGTGTCTGTCTAAGCTTATCTAGGAATAAAACCTAAATGGCCTAAGAAAATGGAGGGATTGTGGGGCTCTCAAGTGTCTCAAACAGGTGGCTGAACTGGCACTTAAGTGCGTACAGATTTAGCATTAGGGAGTTGTCTAAATATTGTCTGAGAAAGGCTTGAGTTACTGGATTCTTCAGTGTTTGCTTTATGACTTCATCTCAGAACATACAGAATCCTTCATTTTCAGATCCAATTCTGACCTACTTTTATTGCTTTTATTTTTTGTAATTATATAGATTACTCATTGATGTACCTTACTTCATTTAATTAATTAATTAATTAATAAATAATTTAAAAACAGGTTGTTGCCATGTAGCCCAGGCTGGCCTTGAACACATGTGGCCCTCATGCCTCGGTCTCCCAAGTGCTGGGATTATAAATGTGTGCTAGCATACCTGGCCTCATTGATGCACTTTAAAGGGAAAAAATTTTAACAATGAAATACACACAGACTAAAAGTAAATTCTTTCTTCAGCTGGATGCAGTTGTATGCATGCTTCTGTAATCTAGTTGCATGGGAGGCTGAGGCAGGAAGAACACTTGAGCCCAGGACAAGCTTGGGCTCAAGACAAGCTTGGATTTTGTAGTTCAACACAAGCTTGGACTCCATAGTGAAACCCAATCTCAAAAAAATTTTTTTTTTATTCTAAGTTTTTGCCTTCTAATTTTCTCATCCTGGTTTAGCAGTTGTTTAGTGGTTAACTATTTCTGAATTTGTGTGTGGATATACATACGTATATTTAGAAAAGTATTTTTATTTATGTATATATCTATGTTACATAACCAGTTTGTGTTTGTATGGGAAAGATGGCCATGGTCACATTTGCCCCCTGATGTAGAGTTTGCAAAAAAACCCAAAAATTTTGCCAAACACTTTTATTTATGAACCAAATTGTTCTCAAACAAATGCATTTGTGAACCAAGGTACCACTGTATAACATTTTTTTTGCACCAATGGCATTTAAAGATCTAAAGGAATAATGGCTATAGTGAATTCAATATTTGCTATTAAAATTCTGTCTATAGTCATACTAAAGAAATGAGTTAATGTACATGTGTAAATCATTGAGTACCTGTCACATAGTGATAGGCAGACTAATCTATGCCTTAAACCCTTGCCAGTACTTAATGATATTTCCAACCATCTGAGTGGCCTGACATTCTTTTGCCTCATTTTGCATTATCTTCATTACATGTGAAGGTGAAATCCTCTGTGTATTTGTTGTTCAGTTGGATTCTTTTGTGTGTGATATACCTCTCCTTATTTTTACATTAAAAATATTTTTATTATTGCTTAATAGAAGTTATTTATATCCACCATATATTGATCTTTCCTTTAGTTTATTGCAAATATTTTTCTAGCCTTCAACTTTTCTTTTAGCTTTGTTTGTGGTATCTCTCTCAACATAGGCATTATTTTTCCTCTAATAAGATTTGTCACTTTTTTTCCGTTGTGTTACTTTTGGCTGTGCATTTTCTAAGTGGATTTTCAAATGATTTCATGTGAAATAATTCAGAATGTGATAAGATCAGTAGAATTAGGATTTTGCAGCCTCAAGTTGGGCATGGTGTTACAGGACTGTTGTCCACGCTACTTGGGAGGATGAGAGACAGTAGGATCGTTTGAGCCCAGGAGTTTGAGGCCAGCTTGGGAAACTATTCCAAGACTATTTCATTTTTTTAAAAAAATTAAACCTCTAACAAATCTGCTCTCTTTTCTGTGTAGTACTCTCTGCAATAACATGGGGATGGATTATCTCATCAATTTCCCACTAAGGTCTTCCCTGCCTCAGTTTCTCACACTTCCATGTGATTGCAAGCCATGTTGAGACAGGAGAGTGGCAGTTAGGTTAACAAGAAGGTCCCAGTTCATTCTCTAGAGGAATTCAGTGCTAAACTGCTTTGCCACATGATCAGAACATTGAAGATACTACTCCACACTTTTCTGGATTATATTGTATTTGCAGAAGTCACTTGTCAATAAATTTTGTCTTTCTTTTATTTATTTATTGGCTTTTGGAGACAGGGTCTTGCTATGTAGTTCAGGGTGGCCTCAAACTCACTATGTAGTCCAGGCTTGCCTTGAACTTGCAGCGATCCTCCTTCCTTATCCTGAGTACTGGGATTACAGGCCTGTGACACCATACCTGGCTTTATCTTTCTTTTGATGCTAATGTCTTTCTGGTTTTCAGAATTTCACATTTGCACTGAGTATTCTACAGTTTCCATCTGAGGTATCTAAATGGAGATTTCCTGCTTGGCTTTACTGGTTTACTGATTCTGAGTTATAGGGTATTTTATCAGTTCTGAAGATTTCTCACTCCTTATATCTTTATACATGTAGTATACATTGTTAATATAAACAGTACAACTTCCTTTACATCTCTTATGAATCAATTTTAAAAAGCTCATTAAGCAGGATTCTGTTTTATTGGAGTCATTGACACTGGAGGATGTGACTGTGATGTTCACACATGAGTGGCAGCTCTTGGATCCTGCACAAAAGAATCTGTACAGGAATGTGATGTTGGAGAACTACAACAACTTGGTGTCAGTGGGTGAGGATGCTTGCCTCTGTCATCAGTGGGTGCCTTATGTGGCCTTTCCTTCACAGCTACTTAGTGTGTCAGAGCCTCTGCAGTGATTTCAAGTGGTAGACTCTTGGCTCCCAAGAGAGTTCATTGTGCTCTCTCCTGAGATAAAAGCCTTGGCTTTGCAGATGCAAAAACTGTCCAATTCTTCAAAACTAACCTCCCATGTTGACATATCCCAGCCCAATCAATGTGCCCAAGTCATCTCTCATTTCTCATAACAGGATGTCAAGGCAGCAAGCCAGATGCATTCTTCAGGTTGGAACAAGAAGAACCTTGGACAGTAGATGAAATGCACAGTCATATTTGTCCAGGTGAGTGAATGAGAACCAGCAAAATGAATACACATAGAATCATACTTTAGTCGGTCAGAAGACTGTAAGGGTGTCTGAAGATACAGAATCAGCCTCCATGGATTCCTCTTCCTATCTTAGAACGTTTCTTTTACATCTTTAGAGGGATATAAACCTGCTTCTTTTTTGTTTTGTTTTGTTTTTTTGGTTATTTTATCTTACATCTTGCTTTTCCATTGTTTACCTAATTTTCTTCTTCCTTGGCTTCTCTCATCTTCCCCTTCTTTAAATTCTTAGTGTCTCTATCTATTCATTCCACTCCCTTTGAAATTGCCTATTCTAGACCACACTCTATATAGAGGTCTTTGAATTCATCACTATATTCTGACTTGTGCTTTCCTGCCCCACTGGGAAACACTGATTCCTCTTCCTAAAAGGCAACTACACCCTGTAATTGTGCCTTCACAGTAAACCAGATCTTATTGCACATTTATCTGGTTCCTTAGCTGCTTTTTCCTCCCTCTCTGATTCTTCAGTAGTTTTATTTTCCATTTTCTATGCTCACTTTCTAATCCTTAAATTTTGTTTTCTCTTGATTAAGCTTTGTCTCTTCTCTAGATGAGACTTCCAAATTGATAGCTCCCTAATATTGTCTAAATCTACACTTCAGTTCTACATATTTTAATATTCTCTATGGTAACTGGCTGTGGCTTTCTAGTGGCTGAGTAAAGAATAGCAGTCTTGTTCCCTCCACAGAATACTCTTTTCACCATATTGTTTTAAAGTTAGAATATCCTTAACTACCATACATCTTTGTTCTTTTCATGTTGATGTTACGTTTTACATATTTTTTACTTAAAAAGTCCTCTTCTTAAAGATCTTTGGTATTTCTATTGATTGTTTAGCTTGAAAGGACTTATTATATCCTACATCACTTCTAATTATACTTTCTAGCTCCTAGTAACCATGTGGCGTAGTCCCCAACAGATTGTATATGTAACTGAGGAAAGATGATGGAAGTTTGGTTAGTTTTGTATTTTTGGAGCCCTAGTAGACCTTTCTTTCACATGAGTGGTAGCAGTGTAGCAATAAGAAGCATCAGTTAAATCTAAGAAATACTGAAGGTAAAATTGGCACAACTTTGGTTCAGAAGGAAGAAGTGGTTACCCTTTAATACAGCTTAACCAATGCTAAAATGAACAGTAAACAGTATAAGGGACGTTGAAATGGGAAAAATTTGGCTGTGAGTTCTCTACTATATGTAGAGAACGTAATTGAAGATGACAGTTTTAATATCCCATGCAATAACACATTAGCTTCTGAAGAAATCTACATAGTACACTAGCTACTTGCAAAATTCCCTAACAATCATTGTTTCCCTGTTTCATTGTAGTGTAATGTATGGTAACACAACACAGTTAGACCAAAGGTTAAAATGTTGAATCTCCTATTAACTGTATTAGTATTTGGGGAAAGTTAATTTACATTGGTTTACATATCAAAAGGCAAATTTAGAAATAGGATTACCACATGGAAGTCTGTTTCAGTTCATTTTAATTTGAATTCTACAGATCTCACATTCTTGTTGGGTAATGAATATATTCTGTACATTTTATTTTGCATATTTTTTCTGATTTCTGTAATCAGAGTTTCATTACTCTAAATGGGATTGAAGAATCCTAAAACTCAAATGCAGGAATGTCTAAAATCTTGCTTTTGCACATTCATCATTTTTCATTTTGCATGTCCTCCCAACGTATCATCCAGCCCTCGTTTTTTTCTTTTGTGGTGCTGGAGATCAAACCCAGGGTCACATGCGTGCAAAGCTTGTGGCTCTATAGGGGAACCACACTCCCAGCCAAGTTTCTCTTCTCTTGAATAATATGTGTATATTTTCACATGGCTATCTCCATTTATACTTTGAACTGGGTTCTTGATGTTAGTATTACATATTTAAGATCAGTCCCAAACTTCATATTTCACAATACATACTTCATTTTATAGTTCTGGACTTGGTAATATTCCCTATCTTATTATGAGATTCTTCCACCTCCTCAATGGCTCAAGCCTATAGTTAGTGAAATAATCCTTGATTCCTCACTTTCATTAACTATTCTCTCTTTGAAGCCATCATTTAACTTTGTATTTTCTTTATACCAATATATATACAATGTAAAAATTTCTTCCTCCACCTCCATTGCTTCTTCAAATCACATTTATCATGTCCAACTCCCTTTTTTCCTTTACTTCTCATTTGTTTTTTTCCCTAGAATTTGAGAACAGTGAAAATAAGGCATATTTTGTATATCCCTAACATTAGTAGAGGGCTTTTTACATGGGAAGCATTTAATAAATGTGGAGTAAGTAAATGTAGTCTTTATTATTCTGGATCAGTGTTCCATCTTTTTGGACTGATATATCCCTAAGTTTTTTTTTTGTATCGGGGATCGAACTTGGATCCTTGCGCTTTTGAGGCAGGCGGTGGAACCACTGAGCTAAATCCCTGGCCCTGTATCCCTAATTTTTGTGGAATAGTGTTCCTAAAAACCCTGTTATTTGATTACAAGAACAATTTGCTTGTATTCTGTTGTGTTTACATGTTTTGCAAAGTCCTATTTAGAAAATAACCGAAGCCCTACAGATTGTTAACTGGCAAACTTTATTTATACACTTTTGTATATATTTTTATATACACATTTATATACATTTTTAATTTTTGGTTTATATTATGTTTTTACCAATAAGTGAGAAATAAGGAACAATTATATAGGGAGTTTTTTTCTACTGTTATCACTAAAAAGGCCTTTTTTTTCTTCCTTGAAGTGCTGGGGATTGAACCCAAGGCCTCTTGCCTGCTAGGCAAGCATGCTACCGCTGAGCTACATCCCTGGCCCAAACATGATTTTTTTAAAACTCCAAAGAACCTTTTACAAATGTAGTCCACAGAAGCTATAATTCATTATTCTCTTTTTTTATAGAAAATGGCAAAGTTGGTAATCATCGGCAGGGTCACATGAAAAATCAAAGAATGCTGAAGAATATGAAACAATACTATAAAGACAATGCATTTGGAAATACTATTCTTCAAAGCAAAAGTCATTCTGTGTTACATATAAAAACTTTGAAGTCAAATTTGGGTTTTGTCAACCAGAGCAAAAACTATGAAATTAAGAATGCTACTAAATTTAAGGAAAATGTGGAGACATTTATGAATGGCAAGTGTGAAGAATTCCATTCTGCAGTTAAATTTCTTGTAAGTAGAAAACCCATTAACAAGTCCCAAGTCATTAAGCATGAGAAAACTCATGAAATAGAGAAAAACCATATATGCAGTGAATGCGGGAAAGCCTTTGCCAAGAAATCGCAGCTCCCTGATCATGACAGAATTCACACAGGAGAGAAACCTTATGGATGCAATATGTGTGCAGAAGTATTCCCAAGAAAGTCCAGGCTCAGTGAACATCAGAGAATCCATAAGAGAATTCGTTCACATGCAGTGAATGTGGAAAAGTCTTCACCATGAAGAGCCGTCTGATTGAACATCAATGAATTCACACTGGAGAGAAACCCTATGTATGCAGTGAGTGTGGAAAAGGGTTCCCAGGCAAGCGTAATCTCATTGTACATCAGCGAAATCATACTGGAGAGAAGTCTTACATATGTAGTGAGTGTGGAAAAGGCTTCACTGGGAAAAGCATGCTTATCATACATAAGCGAACTCATACAGGAGAGACGCCCTATATCTGCAGTGAATGTGGGAAGGACTTCACCACAAAGCATTATGGCATCATACACCAACGAAATCATACAGGAGAGAAACCATATGTATGCAATGAATGTGGGAAAGGCTTCACCATAAAACGTCGTCTGGTTGAACATCAATGAAATCATACAGGAGAGAAGCCCTATGTGTGCAGTGAATGTGGAAAAGGATTTGTTAGAAACAGTAATCTCATTGAACATCAGAGAAATCATACTGTAGAGAAATCATATGTATGTAATGAATGTGGAAAAGGCTTCACTGTGAAGACTGCACTCATCATACATCAGCGAACTCATACAGGGGAGAAACCCTACATTTGCAGTGAATGTGGGAGAGGCTTCCCCTTGAAGAGTCGGCTGAGCATACATCAGCGAACCCATACTGGAGAGAAACCTTACAAATGTAGTGAATACGGGAAAGGTTTCATTGTTAATAGTGAACTGATGGTACAACAGCGAACTCATACTGGAGAGAAACCTTATGTATGCAATAAATGTGGAAAAGGTTTTGCTTTTAAGAGCAATCTTGTTGTACATCAGCGAACTCACACTAGAGAGAAACCTTTTATGTGCAGTGAATGTGGAAAAGGCTTCACCATGAAATGTTATCTCATTGTACATCAGCAAACTCATATAAGAGAAATCCCATATATGTAGTGAATGTGGAAAAGGCTTTGTCATGGAAACTGAGTTCATTTTACAAAAGCAAGTTCATACTGGAGAGAAACCATATGCATGCAATAAATGTGGTAAAGGCTTCACTGTGAAAAACTGCCTAATTGTTCATCAAATAATTCATACAGGAGAGAAACCCTTTATTTGCAGTGATTGTGGAAAAGCTTTCTCCTTAAAGAGAAATCTCATTGTATATCAGTGAACTCATAATGGAATCAAACCCTAACAATGCAATGAATAATGCTCATGCCTTCAGGAAGAAAGTATGTCTTATGCAACATCAGATATTTCATGTAGGATAGACTTCTTTTATGTATATTGAATGTGGAAAATTCTACTTGTACACTGTTGGTCTAATTATTCACCAGAGAATTTAGACAAGAATTTAATCCAATCACTGTGGGAAAATCTTCAACATGAATTGTCTTCTAATTCCTTGATGCACCCATTGTAATCAAGAAACTAATACTAGAGAGGAGACTATGGATTTAGCAGTTAGAGGTAACCTCATTTATCAAGTTTCATTAAAATACAACAGTATACACATGAGCGATGTGTTATGTCAGGGTACATAATCCTTTTCACATAATCTGAACCTATTACAAGAAAACTCATGTAGGGACAAACCATATTAGTACTTGAACTCATTATGTATTAGTGTGCTAGTATACATGAATTTAGTGTAGACCAGCCTATTACTAGGTTTTTATTATTGGAGATTATGGAATTTGCCCAGGAATGAAATTAAATGTCTATAGAAAATGTAGTGCCTTCAGTGATAAAGTCATACTGTATGTCAAATGTGGGAAAACCCTCTGATACATTCAAAGTAGAAAAGTCTTGAAAAATTTCTAAGTAATAACATGTCTATAAAAGTGTATGTGGAGATACAGTACATATAAGTCAGGAGACTAAGAATGCCTTGTATGGGAAGAAAGACACTATCTCCTTGGTGATCAGAATAGATTATCAGTGAGCTGAAACACAGTAGTGATGTAATGATCAGAGAAACGCCTTTGCCCAGAAATGAAATCTTAGTAATATTTCACACCGAAGAAATTTCAGATGGCAATGAATATGGCAGGATTTCAGTGATATATTCTGCCTCATTATTTATCATTAAGGCATACAGAAATAAAACTGGTAAGAACACACTAAATGTGTAGTAACCAGCAAAATGTCAGGAATTCATGGAAGTAAAGGAGCATCATGAAAACAATGTATTTTGAAGGGTTTTCCATCACAAGGCTAAAGTTATCACACACCTGATAACTATTTTGAAACACAGAAACTTTTCTAAATGATTCCACCATTAAAAATGGATTGTTCTCATAATTGATTAAATTTTAATGTTATGTAAAAGGCAAGTGTATTCTATGCTCATGTTGTATCTTTATATCATTAGCTTTTGCATATGTTAGGCTAAGAATTTGTCTACTACTGATATACTTCAAAAGTACATTAAATTCGGCCAGGGATTTAGCTCACTGGCACCGTGCCTGCCTGGCAAGTTCAAGGTCCTGAGTTTGATCCCTGGTACCCCCCCCAAGTACATTAAATTCATAAATGTAGCTCAACATATTGGTGTTTATCAAAGTTTATAAGTAGTATTAAGTAGCTGACAAAAATACCTTAAATGATTTTACAGTTTTGACATAATTTTAGATTCACAAGAAATTACAAAATATATGTTCTTTAGTACCCTTCACATAGTTTCTTCAGTGATGCTGTTTTAACCATAATATGGTATATAATTAAAACCAATTAAAATGACAGCACTTTTATTGTTTTGGTGCTGAGGATCAAACAGCATTGGGCATACTGTGTGCATGCTCTCATTAAGCAATAGTCACAGTTATAGATCAGTTCTAATTAAACTACAGACCTTTAGACCACTAGTTTTTCAATGCATCAGATAGACATGCTTTATTTTTGTATGTATGTAGAATTCTAAAAAATTTTGTAATGTACAGATTTCTGTAAATTCCACCAAAGTTATGAACTATACAAGAAAATATCCTGTTTTATTACCTTTTAATATGCAAATCTTCTCCCCACAACTTGATCCTATGCTAACTGCTGATCAGTACTCAAGCAGTGTAATTTTGTCGAGAATGCTGTAAAATTGGAATCATACAATAGGCAACCTTTGATATAGGCCCCTTTTCACTCAGCAGATTGTCTTTTAAGATCCATTCAAACTGCTGAATGTATAGTTTTTTGTTGTTACGGAGTAGTACTTTCTATGGATATACCATAGTTTTTTCTTTTTTTGTTTTTTCCATTCACTGATGATAGACGTTTGGGTTGTTTTTAGTATTTTGGTGTTTCAAAAATGCTGTGGGAGACATTTGGGTTGTTTTTAGTATTTTGGTGTTTCAAAAATGCTGTGAATATTGGTATACCTAATTTTGTGTGTACATAAGTTTTTGTTTTTGTGGGATAAACACCCAAGAGCACAACTGCTGGTTCATAGGATGTCTAACTTAGTAAGAAACTGCCAAACTTTTCCATAGTGGCTGTACTAATTTCCATTCCCACCAGCAATGGATGAGCATTCTGATTGTTTGATAGGATCTTTCTAGCAATTGGCACTATTTTAGCCTTCCTATTGATCTATGATGGTATGTAATCATTGTCTTAACACGTTCCCACTGGGTTGAATCACTGGTATACATGCATGATAGTCCCATCTTCTCAATGGGAGAGTCATATATGTACCACAGATAGTTGAGAGCTGCCCACCAGCAAGACATAGGAATTACAGCCCCATTGTGATCACGTTAACTTACGTTTTGCTAACAACAAGTGATGGTCAACACATCTACATCCAATGAGAACCATGTAAGATAAAATTACAGTTTTCACTCTCAACAACCAAATACAAGTTTTAAAAGTCAAAAGCATATATTTGATGATTGTTAATGTTATGTTTCTTTTTTTCAGTCTGTGCTTTCTTTATCAGTTCTTTTTGAGCAAGTCTGCTGTCAAATATATTCTTAGTTTACATATGAATAGGGCTATTTTTCTGTCTTCTCTAGCCAGAATTATTTCCTTTTATAGCTCTTTATAGCTAAAGAAGTGGGTACCAGCCGTATAGTGTTGTGTCAGAATTCAATCTGTAACTCAAAGTTGAGTAATTTCATCCTTTAAAAGAAGTGTTTTTGAGCTTTTGCACTATGTCAAGTACTGTTGTAAACCCTAGGGACACATCAATGAACAAAGTAGGCAAAGTGATGTTCTTCATGGAGCCTGAAGGAAACCTGAGTAAAATAAATACAAAACTATTCAGATCTGGTGAGTGCTAGGAAGACCTATAAAGCCTGATAAGTCAATAGATTGTAACTGAAAAGGCAGTGTAGTCATTTTAAGGCCAGGTATTTCTGAGCAGATGTAATTAGATCTAACATTCAAGTGTGAGATATATATAATATTTGTCAGTCTAGAACACCATACAGTTGTTTCTAAGGGTTTTATCTGGGACCCTGACTCAGCATTCTCTGAGAAGCTTGTAAAAAAGAAAATTTATGAATCATATTCCAGACCTCCTGAACTAGAACTTCAGAGGTTGGTGTCCAGGATTCTGCACTTGTAAAAAGAATTTTCTGAGGGCTGGGGTGTAGCTCAGTGGTAGAGCTCTTACTCAGCATGCATGAGGCCCTGGGTTCAATCTCCAGTACTACAAAAACAAAACAAATAGATAAAAAGAACTTTATGATCTATATTTCAATCAGAACATCTCTGCCCTAAATTCTGGATTATTCCATTACCACACCCACAATGTAATAGGGTAGATTTGGGGCAGATATTTTCCATCAAAGAATCAGGTGCTATGCTTTACCAGATAGGCTGTTGAATCTTCTCTTTGTCCTGTGAATCTGAACATCCTGCCATAGCAAAAGCAGATCAGCTCAATGCTAAAACTGATCAGCAAAGTTCCCAGATAGGCTGTTCTGAGCTCTGTATTAGGTGCAGAACTTTCCAGAGGTTGGCAGTTTAGATGAACAGGGCTGAAATTTAACCATACTCGAGAGAACATAATACTCAAGAAATTAGACAGAATTTTATTATATATAAATTGGAATATATAGCAAAGTTAAGAAATTTTAAGTCACTGTAATTGTACTTAAAGTCAAATATTAACAAAATATTCTCCCCAAGTTTTCAAATGCATGTAAGTATATTGATCTTATAAAATTAGACTAGTTTTTTTTGTATTTACTATGTGATGAACTTTATTAGTCATCTAAAGCTTTTTTCTGAAATTGAAACCTTTTTACAATAAAGTAATTCATGATTATGATTCAAGATATTAACAGAATTGCAAAAATTGGAATTTTTTCCTAAAACTTAAGACCTTCTCATTGGTATATACTGTAATGTAATCTAAACAATGCTTTAGTCAAATTTCAAAGATACGTTTGTGATTTATTCCAATAACCAGAGCATAATACATTTAATATCTTACAGATCACTTTTTTCCTCTGAAGAATATATTATCACATATACTGAAAATGTAGTAATGAGACAGAACAGAAACAAGGCCCAACCCTTCTCATTTCCCTCTGATAGCCAGGTGATCAGTTGTTGTCACACCACATCCTATGCTACCCTTGACTCCTCAAGGATAGTGGTCTTCCCATCAACCATGGAGTTACTTTGCTTTTTGTGTTTGCCCTGCAGGCCATGCTGACAGGAACCAGAACTTGGCTGACAGCCTCAATGCCCTCCTTTGCTCCTGCTGTTCTAGGTACTGCTGCGGCCTCTGTGAGGAGTGAACAGAAAACCACACGTGACGGGGCAAAGATTGGGTTGGGATGGGGCCCATTGCTGAAATCTTGGAAATCTGCACTCAGATGAGTCATGAACAGCACATTTGACCTTTCTAGAGATGGTTTAAGAGCAGCAGCAGTTGAAATTTTAGCCTTGCCAGTTTTATGCAAGGTGGGAGTTGTCAATCAAGTGGCCTCTCATGCCCAGTTTCTGCTGAACTATTGTCATGATGGCTGTGGATGTCCTAGATGCCCCAGCGTGGCTCCAGAAGATACTTGCCTTGGCTGTAGTAGGCTTAAAACACAGACCTATTCCAGATGACTGTCCTTGGCCAATCCTGATGACTGTTTCCCGCTGTCATTCCCTCAGTCATCAGAAGGCTGGTAAATGTATAAAACCACAAGGGCAGCCTGCGCCTGCTCTAACTAGCACTCCCTCACACTACTCAGGTTAGTTGAGAGGGGGTTCCCTCTTGTGCACTACCCCTCCTATGCCACAGCGTAGATCTTAATGCTTTGCTGGATTGGTCCTATTACTACTCATGATTCTTACTTCAAGAGTGGACTGAGTAAGTTGCACTAAAATAAGCTGGTAATAGCAGTGGCTAATAGCTCTAACGAGATCATTGGTGGAGATTAGCAGTAACTAGCAGAAATCATCAGCAACAAGCATTGACCAGTGCTGACTGGGAGCAACCAACAACGACTTGCAGCGATAGAGCCCCAGAGAAACAGCGGAAGCTGCTGTAAGGGCTCTAGAAAGATATCAAAGAGGCTAGAGCCTCAGCTGCTCAGGAGCTAATAGCAGGGGCCAGGCGCCACCAAGAGCATTAACACTATGAGCTGGAACACAAGGGCAGAGAGCCGCTGGAACACAAGGGCAGAGAGCCACTGGCCCTCTGTCCCTGAGACCCTGACATCTAGGGAGCTGCCCTTTGACAATTTTTTTTTTTTTTTTTTTTGTACCAGGGATTGAACTCAGGACCTCGCGCTTTCCAGGCAGGGAGCAGAACCACTGAGCTAAATCCCCGGCCTACCAATTCTTGATTTCTATTGAAATTGAGCAAAAGAATCCTCAGTTGACTGATGACAGTAAATCTTAATTGCTATATATTTTATGCTCCATATTTTACCACAGTATTCAACTATCATTGTACATTGTTTTTTAAATACAAAAGAAAACTTTTGAAAAAATCAAATAAAGTTAGTATATGAATTGTTGTGTCAAAAGAAATTGAAAAATTTAAACTGGATCTAGGTTGCCTTCCAAAAAAGGAGTATCTGCTACATTCTGCTATGAGTAACACGTCCTACACCTGAATAAACTGAACCAGTATTTTTTTGGGAACTACACATTCTCCTATGGACACACCCATACCCTATCAAAGTTGAGACTTCAAAAATGCCTTTGTCTTTGCCAACTCTGAACGCTAAGCCTTGGCTTTTGCAAGCCTCTCTCCCCTCCTGCGCTGTACGGACTCCGGCCTTGCTCGAAGATGTCCGCCCCCAATGGCTGGGCGGAAGTGCGCAACGGGCACCGCCATCTTTCCTTATCGTCACTAGTAGCGGCCCGCGTCTTGTTGCCCTTGGACACGCACTGGGCTGTTCAAACTTACACAGTTGCACAGCTTAGTAGGGCGTCCCTGGTAACCAGAAGGGAAAGGCACCAAAGTGGCTGGGAATGGCTTCAGTTTCCTCTCACCGCTGCAGCCCCTCCCGACCGCAGCGCTGCGATGGACGTGGCTTGCTCCCTCCGCAGCGGGCCCCCAGCGTCCACTTAGCTCCGCGTCCCCGGACCGCGGAAGGGGACTGAGGATAGCAGAGGTGTGGACCCCGACCGAGCACACCCACTGACAGCACCTTTGGAGAGCCGCACGGCTATCCCTGCGCCAGTCATCCAACTCCCTATCCCCTCTCTACCCAGGTGCAGAAGCAGTAGCTGCTGAGAGCAATAGCACTTCTTTCCACATGCTAGGCTCTTGCGGGACACACCTTTTTCAGTACAATGGTCCCGCCGTGCTCACCATCTCTGTCTCTCTCTTGTTCTCTCTTTCTCTGAGCTGCCTTTACTAAACATGAACCACACAGTGTAGGGAAAACGACCTTCTTTCTGGGTCAAGTATAGTGCTATCCTGGATGGGCAAAAGCAAATGTAACTAGCTCTTTGTCCACTTGCTTCGCCACCTGACTTACAGTGGAGCTACACAGACAGCTGCTGCCAGTTACTGCACATGTACAATACCACACCAGAAAGCTTTTCCTACCCGTTACTGTGGCCCAGACTTTGGTAACTTTGAAGATCAGTAGCAGCACTATGGCTCAGGTGCAGATTTGCAGGTGGTAGCAGTGTCATTTTGTTTGGGTAGGAGGGGAAGGGGTAGGTGGGAGGGTGCAGGTGATGGTAGCGGGGAATGCTCATTATCAGGTTTAGAAAATTCCCATTTATAGTTTCTTGAAAGTCATTTGTCTCTTATTGTTTTTTGTTTGCTGAATTTTTATCTTGCATGAATGGAGGTTGAATGTTATCAAATATTTTTATCTGTTGATACAGTAATGTGGTTTTATTTTAATGTGCTCATATTGTGAATTATACTGAACCAAGAGAGTCCCCCCGCCTTTCATCCCTTCATACCCTTGAAGTCACTGACCAGCAAAGTGCCTGTAAGTTAAGTCGCGATTGCCCAACGACTGAACCCGCAGAAACTGCAGAACACCATCTCTTACAAAGGACATTTACCCAGATCAATGCTCAGAGTCAGGCTCATCATGTTAGCAGCTTCTGCAGTTCTGTAAGCTACCAGAAGGTAAACCTACTTCCAAAATGACGTCAGTTCCGGTGCTCCATGGCAGGCTCTTTCTTTCCGTGGTTAGAGCTGAGCTTGAAGGCAGCACTCTGTTTCCATTTCTGTAGTTTGCAGTCAGGCCCTTGGCCACTACCCCACGTGGTGTGACTGGAAGGAGCAGCCTTAAAGACTGCTATACACCTCTGCACAGGGAGAGGACATTGAGATCACTTTCCCTCATAGTTGTTGGGCAATCCCTGTACTGTGTTTTAGAGTTGTGAACTTATCCAAGGTCAACATGGAACAGCTTACTTTTTATTCAGCTTAATGGACCTTGTAAGAAAACCTTTGGGACGAGCAAGGGCACCATTACTACCTACACATCAATATCATTAGGTCTACTTCTTCTCTTTTACTGTGTCTCTGCCTCACTAGATGGTAAGGTTCATAAGGAATGTTCCTTTGCCTGCTTTCTTCACCAATGTATCCCCAGTGTGTAAAACAGACATTTTACAGTTGCATAGTGATCATACTTTAAGATATTCCTGAAAGAGTGAATTACTCAGTGATTCAATCACAGCTGAACCGTGAGAGCCACACAATAGCAAATTTCCATTTCTTTCTCTATAATCAGAGCTCACTGTAACTTGGATAATGCATCCTTATGACACCAAATTAAAGAACTTTGGATAAAAGAAAGGTAACAGTCCCACTCCCGGGACAATGGGAAGGAAAGATGAAGAGAAAGTACATCTTGGTTCAGTAGGTCAGAGGAGCTGGGATCTTTGAAATGGCAAGTTTAAAAGATCACAGGTGTGGACAAAGATAAGGAGTCAACTCCATGACATCCCCCAAAAGAATGCACCTCTTCCCATCTGTTATACTCTCCTCTATTTTTAGAGACGAAGGTTCTCATCCTCCTTTGTGTTATTATTTGAAGGACCTTTTTTCTTTTCTGCTCTGCCTCTTTTATACTTAGTTAAGTCTAATCACACACAAAAGTGTTGGGTGACAGTTCTATTCTTTAAAAGTGTTGTTCTCTTCAGTGATGAAAAAACCACCCTTTGATTAGCCCCTTAGTTCATGCACTCTTTCTAAATTGAGAAGTTATTGTTATTCTGTTGGGAAATATAACAGTCATGCAAACCAGCACTCTTCAAACTTTGTGGGATGGAAACGAGAGATGACCTATTGTCTCAGTTGTGCTGTCTCTGCTGTCCAACTTGGTAGCGTGTGGGAAACTTCTACTGTGTCTTCTATCAAAGGATATAAACAGGAATGCCTCTTAAACTTTAGTTCACCCGATGTTGTCCTCCACCACAGGCACCAGGGTTGCCCTTGTTACAGTTACAAGGAACGACCCTGCTTGGCCTCCAGAGACAACTCATGCCAACCATTTTCAGTTCCCTGCCCCTCCATCCTCCTCAGCGACTCTGCCCAAAAACCTTCAGGACCCTCCCCCTGCCCACACCCAAAGCCGACAATCAGGTTAGATTGTGAACCTTTGAGCCACCCAATGGGGAGTAGGTAAGCTACCCCCAGGCGTTAGGATACATGAGCTGCTCCTGCAGCCCAGCGTACTGCAGATCAGTCATTGTGCTTGTACTCTTCTGCAGAAGTAAACACTGTCTTGTCAAGATTTCTTGGTGTCTGAGGGATTTATTTCTGCACCGACAAATTGAGTCTGGGTAGGGCTTATTTCCAACAGCTACTACTCACATATGGCTGCTGTGTACTTGAAATGTGGCTTGTGCAAATGAGGAATTGGATTTCTAATTTTGCATTGAAATTAAAAAAAAATTAAGTAGATACACCACAAAAATTATCATGTAATTTGTAATCTCTTGGAAAGATAAGGTGTGGGCATGAAAAAACATACCTTTATTTGTGCTCTAAGGTGTTTAAATATAATTCTAAGCAAATCTTCCCCATTCCTCAAAACAATATGCTCCTTGAACAATAAACCATCGTATATATATCCCTTTGAACTGCTTAACTCACATCCATTTCACCTACTGTAGATGTTTATATCCTCTGCTGAAGACTGGTGGGAGTGTACTGATAGGACTTAAACAGAATCCAGCAGTCAGTATTCTCTCCAGAAGACCACGGACGTTTTGTTTTGTTCACCACTGTAACCTAAGCTCCTAGAACAGGACTGGGTACAAAGAAAGCATTTGTCAAATACTTGTTGGATGAAAAAACTGACTCGGTGGAAGGCTGTTCATAGGTGCCTTTATATATTGGAAAATTCTAGAAGTTTGCTGGGTGTGGTGGCAGAAGCCTGTAATCCCAGCACTCAGAAGGCTGAGGCACCAGGACTGCTGAGTTTGAGGCCAGCCTGAACTACAGAGCAACTCTGTCTCCAAAAAAAAAAAGCTCTACAAGTTTAGTACACACTCTGGTTTTCAGTTAATCCTTCACACTGGACTGGGAAAACAAAATTGACACAGCTGTGCTCCACATGTTACCAGCCCAATGTTAACCCTTTGACAACCATATTTCGTGTGTTTTTTCATTCCAGATACCATTTTAAACCCTGAAATACTTATTTCCTCCATTTAAATGAATTCAGGCTTCCTTCACTCATTTAATGAACATGATAGCAACTACTGGGTATTGTTTGGGTGCTGAACCTTAGACTATGCCTGCGTAACAATGCAACCTTTAGATAGGATGCATTTATTAGGCTTTCCTAGCCTCTGCATGGATATAGTTTCTCCCAGTATATGTTTTCCAGCCATATAAAGAACTAGAAATTTCTGCTCAATGCTTTTCCACACAGAATGTATCTGAGTATTTTCCTATGGGTTTTCTGTGACATAAAATAAGACATAATTGATGACTGAAGGCACAACCATATTCACTGCATTCACGAGGTCTCTATCCTGTGTAAATTCTCGGTTGTCTCCTAACGACACACATCTGGCCACCGGCTGTCCCATAAGGACTACATTCCTATTTGCTAGGCCACTGATGTTCAGTGCTGACTGAGAGGCCACAGAAGGCACTTGGGTAATCACTGTGCTAACCGGGTTTGTCTCCTGTATGACGCCACCAATATATAACGAGCTGTCACTCTCAGCAGGTTTTTCCGACCTCATTGTATGTCTCTGCTTTTCCCTTGTGTGTATTTTCTTATGCTTCACCAGGCAAGACATGTACGCAAAAGCTTTCCCACAGTCATTGCAGCCATAGGGTTTCTCTCCTGTATGAGTTCTTTGATGAACAATGAGCTTTTGCTTTGTGGTGAAGGCTTTCCCACAGTCACTACATACAAAGGGTTTCTCCCCTGTGTGAATCCTTTGATGTTTAATGAGACCCGACCTCTGTGAACAGGATTTTCCACATTCACTGCACACAAAGGGAGTCTTCCCAGTATGAAACCTCTGATGTGCTATGAGGCAGGTCTTTTGGATAAAGCCTTTTCCACATTCACTGCATATATAAGGTTTCTCGCCTGTATGAATTCGCTGATGTACAATGAGATTTCCTTTCTGGATGAAGCTCTTTCCACACTCACTGCATATATACTGTTTCTCTCCTGTATGAGTTTTCTGATGTATGCTGAGTCGTGATTTCTTGAGAAAGGCTTTGCCACACTCAGTGCATGCGTAAGGTTTTTCTCCTGTATGAGTTCTGTGGTGTTCAGTGAGCATGAACTTTCTGGAGAAGGCTTTCCCACACAGACCACATCGATGGGGTTTCTCCCCAGTATGGATGATCTCGTGATCAGTGAGCCAAGACTTCTTGACAAAGGCTTTCCCGCATTCACTGCATACATGACGTTTCTCTACTTTCTGAGTTTTCTTAGGCTTGCGGCTACTGAACTGAGATTTAATGCTGATGTGTTTTTGACTTGCAGGAAATAAAATTTCAGTATGAAGTTTTTCACAGTTAGCAGGGAAAAAGGATTCCTCACGTCTGGGGAATGCCATGGGATTCTTTATTTCACAGCTTTTGCTCTGGTTAACCAAAGTTAAATCTGACTTCATACTTTTTCCATGTAAGTTAAATATGTCATGATTTTGCCTCAAAAGAAATTGAGTTTTGCTCTGTTGAACATTTTCAAATGTATTGTGTTCACGCCACTCTTCCAACCTGTTCACCTTGCTTTTGTTTTGTAAATGCCTTGGCAGATCATCAACAGCCTTCCAGATGTCTAAAAAGAAAAGAACAATGAGTTTTCCATCACCCTGATTTGGAATTAAGGCATTTAAAAAAGATGGGAGTTATCTCTTTAGTGACAACTCTATGAGAGGAGTATAAATACAACTCTACATTTAATGTTTTTTGTACATGGGTAGAAAACAATTAACCAAACCAAGAGTTAATGCTAGCAATGAGGTTAGATAATTAATAATGAATACATACAGATTGTGATGCTTTCAAAATAAGGTCTTTCAAAGACATGTAAAGATAATTCATTGTAGGCAGCAGAGCAGAGGTTGGGGAGCCACCTCACCCAAAGGGTTCCACCATCCTTACTATGTCTCCTCCTCTTAGGAGAAAAGCTTTGAAAGCTTGTGGTCTACTGTTTGCTCTTGCTCAGTGCTGTTATCCCTCAACATACACTAGGCCATCAAAGGAACAAATCAAGAAAGTAATCACATATTTGGAACACAGTGGGGAGAATTTAGGAAAGATGGAAATCTGTGTAAACAAGATGATGCCCTATCAAAGGGGTTGGAAAGAATCTCAGTGTCTTAGGGTGGGTTAACAGAAGCTAACACAGTTCACAAGATCAGAATGGGACAGGGAAAGACACAAGGCAAACCCAGTGGTGACATCTACAGCTCAACAGAAGAAAGCTCAGAATTAGCAAAAATGTAAATGAATCATATTGAAGCAGGCATGAGTTTTGACCTGGTTTAGGCCAGACCTGAGAACGCAGGCTGTTAAAAATATCTTTTCTAGCTAGAAATTCAACATGAACAGCTCAATAAAAGAGCTCAGTAGGTAGAGAGCATCGGAGTAACACAGTAAGCCCCTGATTCATGAATGAGTTCCATTCTGGGAGAATTGCTTGTAAGTCAGATTCATTTGTAATCTGACAAAGTGAGTCTTATACAGTACACCTATGGAAGTTCACAACTCAAATGTTTGTAGGTCTGGGACTTACTGTACCCAGATGGCCAGGATTTAGGATATACAGAAGTAAAGGAAAATCAAGCCTGAAACTGGTTTTCTCTAACTGTAGCTTCTTACAGATATTAGCAACCCCATGATATTACTTTGTTTTATGTCTCCTCCACTTGGAACTAAAGTTCTTTGTTGTTTTTGCTCAGTGCTATTATCGTCCAGCGTACACTAAGTCATCAAAAAATAGTTTTTGATGGAAGTAATCACATGTGTGGAACACAGATTAGAAGCACTTTTAATATGCTCTATATTAAGACAGCAGGGAGCCTTGGCATCAAGAGCTGTAAATCACAGAAAATTAAAGTCAGTATTAGATGACACGAGAGAGATACCAGTTTGGGACACTGCTCCAGGAAACAGAAGCTTAGTTTATTAGGCTGAAAGGTAAGCTCAGATGAGAAAATGGAAAACAGACCCTCTGGGGGATGTCAGAGTGAGAAGAGAGCTCAGGGGGCCAAGGGATGCTGAGAGACCAGTCGCCTTGGCGTGGGATCAGAGCTGGAACAAGTAGTACGTGATGGAGCGGAAGACATGGCAGTCATGGGAGATTCAAGATTAATAATGAGGAATCAGATCCCAGAAGAGATAAACAGGTATGTTTTCCTCTGAACTCCTTCAAAGAAAGTCTCCCATAGACAGAATTAGGTAGAGGCCACGCCAAGGTGACCTGGTCTATCACGCTTTGGCTTCCTGAGTGTCTCCTCTCCTCACTCTGATGTCCCCAAAGGGTCTGTTTTCCATTTCCTCATATGTTTTCATATCCTCAATCCCCTTCACACCCACGAGGCTTTCTCATCTCCGCCCTTCCCCAGCTTGTTCTCCTACCCACCTGAATGGGTTCCACAGTGCAGTTCATCCTCCACCATCCATGGTTCTCCACAAAGCAAGCTGGAGAGGGAATCTGGCTGGCTGGCTTGATACCCTGTTCACGGGAAATGACACAAGTCTCAGGCTCATCAAACTGGGCTGTGATCTGTCAACATGGGACGTCTGTTTTAGGACTGTGTGGTTTACTACGTAGTTTACATCTACAAAGTAAAAAGCTTTTCTCTCAGGAGAAAGCACATTACACTCCCTTTTTGGAGGCCCAAGAGGAACTATAAATCTACCACTCAAGACACCACAGGTCCTCCAGGGTTTCCAGAAGCTGAGAAAGGAAAGGCCACTGACGGGACACCCTCTGAGTGACACGGGGCAGCTGTCCTCACCCACTGACACCAGGCTGCTGTAGTTCTCCAGCATCACGTCCCGGTACAGGTCCTTCTGAGCAGGGCCCAGGAGCTGCCACTCCTCCCGGGTGAACCTCACAGCCACATCCTCCAGGGTCAGTGACTCCTGAAACAACAGTCCTGCTAATGAACTGATTTACTTGTGAGGATATGAAAGAAATATTAGTTTTTTTCCTGTTCTTTCCATTCCATAGGCTGCATCTATACACTTAGCTGCTATTGTTTAATACACTGTGGTAGTAAAATCCTAAGAACGCATTCTGCAATTGTCCATTGAATTATATATTATATTATGCACACATACACACACACACACATACACACACACACAAAATCATGGGTAACATAATGACAGGAATACATTCCAGGGAGTGAGTCCTTAGACAATTTCATCTTTGGGCAAACATTATAGAGCGTACTTACACAAACTAAGACAGCTACAATGTTACTAGGCAACACATTCCTATGGGACCAATCTGGTAGTGCAGTGCACTGTTGACTGACAGGTTGTTACACGACTTTCCTGTGGTGTGTGTGTGTGCGCGTGCGTATGTATCACAAATCTGAGCCTTCCATATTTCTGACTTACCAGCTTTAACTCCGAGGGTTCCATGACCCCTTCTTCGAGTCTGATAATTTATTAGAACACCGCACAACACTCAGAAATGGCTCACTTCCTAAGGTCCTTCTATAACAAAGGCTTTATCAGGAACAGTCGAATGGAAGAGATGCTCAGGGTAAAACATGGGGTAGAGTTCTGGGGCTTCCATGCAATTCTCACAGTGTTTTCACCTTGACCCATCCAGACGTTCCCCATGCTCTTCATTTAGTTCTTCGATGGAAGCTTTATTACCTAGGCTCGATTGATTAAATCACTAGCCTTTGATGATTAAGTCAGCCTCCAGCTCCTCTGCCCTTCTCAGGATGGGGCTGTAGGTTGCAACCTTCTACTAACCAAGCTGGTTCCCCAGACAACCAGCTTCTCTGCCTTCAGAGCTTCCCAAAAGTCACTCTGTTAACATAAATTCAGGTTATAAACAGCAAAGTCAGCCCTTTCATCTCTATCCTCCAGAGCTGTTTCAGGAGCCAAGGACAAAAAAACAAATCGTATAAGTACAGATACTTCTATTGTTCTCATCACAAAGGAAATTATCATAGTTTCAGGAGCTCTGGTCAGGTGCCAGGGTCAAAGACCAAAATATTTTTTTCTTGTATCACAATATGATAGTGACAGTATATTATTCAGTGGCCCAGAGCTAATACTTTTAAACATTATTTTACAATGCCCATAAAATGGAATGGTCACTCTGGACAGCAACTTGAAATGTTCATTAAATATAAAATTAGTGCATTCAGCAGGTGACTTCTCTGTAGCTACCTTCAGAAATACCAATACACCTTCACAAAAAGGCATTAAGAAGGATGTGCATTGCTGCACAGTGTGTAATAAGAAAGTTACTTAAATGTTCCACGAAAAGAGAACAGTTAAATTATGGCACCCACATCATGTGGACCTCAGTTTAACAGGTCAAAAAGAAGTGTGGTGGTGCACACCTGTAATCTCAGCACTCGGGAGGCTGAGTCAGTAGGACTGCCCCAAGTTCAAGGCCAGCCTCGGCTACATAGTGAGTTCAAAGTCAGCCTGAACTACATAGCAAGACTTTGTTTCAGGAAAAAAGAAAAAGAAAAGAAGAAAGTAGGTAGGCATGTAATAACACCTAAAAAAATTCAGGCACTTTAAAGGATTTTGTTTTGTTTTGTTTTGTTTTTTGGTACCTGGGACTGAACTCAGGACTTTGTGCTTTCCAGGCAGGCAGGCACTTTAAAGGGAAAAACCAGATGGCCGGGGACTTAGCTCAGTGGCATCATGCCTGCCTGGCAAGTACAAGGTTCTGAGTTCGATCCTCAGTACCAAAAGAAAAAAAAAATCAGTAGTCTGATTCCTTTCAAAAACAATAACAAAAAACTATACTTCCACTGCAAACACTATAGAAAATGCACATTAAACTGCTGATAACCCAGTTCCTTCTAGGGGAAGGGTCATATATGAGTATATGGGTCTTGGATTTTATCAACAATGCTTAGGTTTTTTTTCTTTTTTTCCACATTAAGCATGTATTTGTTCATACATGTAGTTTTTTTTCAGACAACGATAGATTAGCATATACAGTTGTAAGAAGTAATACAGAGGGCGAGGGTGCAGCTCAGTAGTAAAGTGCTTTCCTACCATGCACGAGGTCCTGGGTTTCATCCCCAGCCCCGAAGAAAAAAGAAGAGAAAACAGGAGGGGAAACAGGGAGAGGGAAGGGGGAGGGGAGGGAAAGAAGGAGGAAGGCACATCAGGAAACTGGCACTGATAGAATCTTCATTTATTCAGGTTCACATAATCAGTACACAGAACAGAGGTATCACAGGGATCTTTCTTCATGTCACTTTAAAGCCATAGCCTTCTTCCTCCTGCCGAGCCCACCAATAACCCTGGCCACCACTACTCTTCAAACTCCCAGAAGTTTAAAGCTGGGCTTGGTGGTGCGTACCTGGAAGCCCAGGTACTCAGGAGACTGAGGCATGAAGACTGCAAGTTCAAGGTTAGGCTGGGCAACTTACTGAGACCTTGTCTCAAAATAAAAGTAAAAAGGGTTTGAGATGTAGCTCAGTGGGAGTGTGTGTCTAGCATGCGTGGGGCCCCAAGTCTCAGCCCCAGGAAAAAAGGTACACAATGCATGGTGCCATTTACATAACATTCTTGAGATGACAAGATTACACACAGAGGCTACACTTTCAAAAGTCACCTGTCATTTCTCCAGAAAAAATGAACATAAGTGTATGCTCCTTTGTCATTTTTCAGATAAAATACTCAGTTCTCTCCCAACCTCTAGTGGTGAAAAATGTATTTTAGTTTTTCAAGTAACACTATGAACTGATAGAATTTTACACAGTTAATGTTTTCTAATCAATTGCAGCCATTGGTCTTTGAATGCTCAAAATACACCATCCTAGGTTAACACAGTACAGTCCCTTCAAGTAGGCTGCTATTTTCTGTGGAATGTGATTTCATTCATGCAAAAAAAAAGATATAATCGCTTTATATCTACAGGTATGTGTACATATGTACATATATATACACACATATAAAACACTTTTTAAATACATGTATAGATATATATCTAAATGCAGATAGTGACAGAATGTAAATATTACCGACCATTTACAAAAGGGGATTGGGAAGGAAATGTATGAATAAGGAACTAATTTTTGCCATGTGTATTCAGTTATTTTATTGGGGTACAATCAAAGATGGTCTATATCACTGACCTTAGGTCCAGCCCCTGGAAGTCAGGTTAAAAACTTTAACCTCCAGTTCTTCTAGAGATCTGAACTGTGATCTACAGCCCAAATCCCCTCCATAGATCACGACTTCAGATTGTCCAATGGCTGAAGTGTGCAGGGGAACAGACTTTCCTACCAAACAGGACACCTTGGGTGGCCCAGCAGTCTTCCTCCGGTATCCCGAGGCAGAGACTACACTCCTCTTTGCATAGGGCCAGCTTTTCACTACCCAACAGAACTGGACTCTGAATTTTGTATCATGAAGTGAAGATCTAAAGCAAATCCTAGCAATCCCAACAAGCCAAGCCCTTACCAAATAACAGTACTTTCAACTCCCTACATCCAAAACCATATTCAAACATCAGTTCCACTAACTGCTCACTGATAACCACTTGCATATCCTGCTATCCCTCAATTTTCCTAGGCTATTTAGGTTTTATTCCTGGATAAATCCAGACAGCCACAAGGCTGAAGTCAATGCTTTGGTCCCCTGTATTCACCTGGTCCGTTCCACAGGGGTCTAGGAGGAATCTATGAAGAAACAGCCGCAGTTAAACCTCCTTCTGCATTTATAAGAAGGCTGCTCTTCAGGACACCATCCATATCATGTCTTGGAAGAACAAGGCAACAAATTTCCCAAGACCAAAGTGCCATGAAATACTGGCAGCTCCCGCAGGAAGTGATCTATTTTCTCCTCAGAACCAGTGCATACCACTTAAGTTATAATAATTCTTTGGTAGGGCTGGCTGTCAGAGAGTCCAGACATGTAAGCCGACAGCTCATGTGACCAGTCATGTACATAACAATATTCGTAATTTACTGTAAATCCTATGAAAAATCTGTTCCTTATCCTACCATGCCTGATGTTCAGTTGGAAGACTAAGCTAAAGCCAGGTGTGGCAGTGCATATCTATAGTCCCACCTAATGTGGAGGCTAGGGAAGCAGGATCACTTGAGTCCAGGAATCCAAGGCCAGCCTGGGCAACATAAAGATTCCAATCTCAAAAAGCAAAACAAAACAAAAAAATAAAGATTCAGTTTCTTTTTTTCCAGATCCTGCTTTTGTGAAATTTAAACTTTTCAGATTAATGTAACTGATTTGTTTTCCCATAGACCTCTTAAAAATCCAGTAGGAAACAAGAAAAAATAAATAAATAAACGAACCCAAAGTTAGTTACCTGGGCCTGGATCATTTTCTTCTTTTTTCAGAAAATTGCTGGCCACTGGGATCCTGTCTTGGTGTCTTCTGCTCTAACGCTGACACCCCAATCCTGTAGATTCCTCTTCTTTTATACGATTCTTTTGCTCCTGAGAAGTGAGGACCTGTGAGTTGGAAAGAAAATTTAGTTTGAATGGTACATTCCCTCTGGGCCAGGTACTATCACTGCTCCTAGGCATTCATTTGAACACAATGTCCCCAATACCGTTAACTAGCCCTGTATATCGTGCTCCAACAAATTATATATCTCTGGCCAATTAAGCCAGAGGTTCTTAAAGTAGTAGACATATGCCTTTATTCTGTAAAGTTTAGCTGGGATGACTATGAAGGAACGTGGGAAATGAGCCCCACCATAGCACCATGCCTCAGGCATAAGAGAGTTCAGACATCTACATTGGGTTGGGAAAAAAGTGGAATCTCAGCTTGTAACACACACAAAAATCATTTAGGGGTCAACTGTCAACCTCAGTGGGACTAGCAAAACAATAAAGTTTTAAGGAAATAATATAGGAGGCTCTCTCAATGTTATTACAATAGAGAAAATTACTTTGAACAGTCCACATAAAGCAAATGATATTTTGCTAAAGGAACTGTAGTACTATAGCCACTTTGGAAAAGTTTGGCATCATTTATTTAGACTTGAGATGATATAACCCTACGACGCAGTAATTTCTCTCTGAAGTGTGTATGTTAAATATGTATCTCCTACCTCCCTCTCAATAGGGCACTTTTGAACCAAAAGACATTTACAAAAATGTTCAGAGCAACATTATGTATAAAAATTCGGACTGTAAGCAACAGAGATGTAATTAACAGGAAAAACTGCTATATATTCAAAGAATGGAATGAAATAGAAAAACTTCATTAATTACAAACTATGAAAAAAAAGCCTAGAAGTAGTTCCTATAGAGAGAATAAACATAATTACCTTTGGTAGAGGATGGAAAAAATGCTCAGAAAATACTACTTGAATGCTGGCAACAGTCTGTTTCTGTCTGCGACAATGACTGCTCATACATGTATGCTTTTCTGATCACTAAACTGTACAGGTTCTAAAAATGTAAATTCACAATAAGTAAATAAAGGAAGATAATAGCAAAAACTTGTTATCTTTAAGGAACCATAAAATATATAAATTTGTAGAGAGGTCAAATGAGAAATGGTGCAAAAAAATATAAGGAATTAACAGGAGATATGGGTCAGGTATTGTTTTTGTCTTTAGAGACTCCTACCGATATTTTTATGTCATTAAATTTGAAATCCTGCATAAATTCCTAATTTTATGATCCTACCTCCAGGAGAGATGTTATGTTCACGCCAAACAATAAAGCAGGTGAATTTTATGGGTAGGCAACAAAACAAGGATGCCCAATACCATTGTATTCACCCATTTTGTTTCTGAGAGTTGAGCCAAAGCATTAAAAGAAGAATTATAATTATTACAAATGAGACAGAAAGTTAAGGTTATTTTCAGATGTCATTATGGACATAGAAAACAGATCAACGAACAATGTATTTAAAAGAGAAAATGTTCCCGAGAAACTTGCTGGCAAATTTTCACATACGACATTGTTAGCTACAATTGCACCATATATATCGCTAAGTTCCATTCCACGAAAACACTATCACCAGTAATGGGAACTGGAACCACCATCATTGGCCAAGACCAACCAATACTCATTAATGAACTTTGATCTGGGTCACCTGGCCAGGATACATAAGCAGAATCTGTTAGGAAAGCAGAAAGCGCGAATGTATGCAGGGCAGGGCGGGAAAGCAACAGTGTCCTGTACAATGCATTAAGAGGCGAGCGCAGGGATTGGCAAACATTTTTTCTAAGAGGACAAATTGTTACACATTTTCAAATTTGCCGGCACAGGGTTTCTGTTACTACTGGACTCTGCCTCTCCAGCTCCAAAGCAATCATAGACAAAAAATTGGACGGGCAGGCTGAACTACTCCCTGGTCTGCAGCAATGCGTCCCAAGGTTTAAAACTGTAGATACGTGATTCAGAATCAGTGCCGGTGGTGGATGGCCTTCGGTCACAATCACTGAAGTGGGAGGCGCAACCCAAGCATCACCCAGGAGTCCCTGGCTTCCAAAGCGTCGGCCCTCACAAGTGTTTGTTGCAGCCACTGGCCGTTTATCTCTTTATTACTCCGAAATCTAGACCTGACACTCTCGTGTGATGACAATCCTCCAGACTCCAACATCCCCGAGCCCCAACTTCAATCCCATCAGGAACCAAACACCTCGTGCACCCTAGGAGTCACCTCTACCCCTTATGAATAGCGATCCGCAAAGTCGCTTGAGTCCCAGTCAGGGAACTGTCGCTGACCTCTACAAGCTCTTAAACACTGTACAGACACCAAAGGGATCCCGACCACAGCCCGGCTGGTCTGGGACAGTCAGGTACCTCTCGGACACCTCTGCCACCTCCGCCAAGAACTCCATGGGTCCGCGCTACTACGTGTCCACGGACCTCCCTCATCTTCCGCTGAGACAAAAGTAACTTCCAGGAATAAAGCCACACACTAACCTGATTTTCTTCTGACCCATAAGAACAACCTGAACGTTGCACTTCCGTGAAGCGCGAGCGTACTTCTGGAGCCTCACCGAAACCCTAGTTTGGCCTACGGCGGCCGAGAAGGGCGTAAACGACTTGAAAGCACAGGAACAAAACTTCCGGTTACTAACCTAGTAGGTAATATGGCTGCGCCCAGCTCACTGTAGCCACACGGGGCCGGCCGTGTTTGAATATTGACGTACGGAAGGCAAGGTGGCAGATTTGTGGGAATGTAGCCCAAGATGGCCAGGAGGATGAAACTGTCTCATGTCCTGGCTCTTTAACCGTCAGTAGATTTCCAGACACTCAAGCTTTACAAGGTAAATATGAGGCGGCCTCATTGTAAACACAGTGAAATAGTATTTTCGTAACCTTTTATTGTCCACTTAAAAAAAAAAGTTTGCCAAGTAAGAGCTCAGATGTCTGTATAACAGAGAATCACTTCTGGAAAGGGAAAAAGTCATATCCAGTAGCGAGAGTCAGTCTGAAAACAAACAAACAAACAACAACAAAAACCCTGAAAAGTTTACAGCATGCAGTGTTTAAACATCGACTAAATGGGGGCTGTGCAATTTCTAGCCTTCTCACACTCAGACACAAATAAGCCCTGGTATCTCCCAAAAAGCATCGACTTCGTATTCAATCTAAGACTTAGCACGGAACACCCCCCCCCCTTCCCCTTCCCCCAGTCATTGACCCTCTTCTCCCCAGGCTGAATTACTCCATCCATGAGCACCACACTAAATTGAAAATCTGAGCCAGAAGCAGTGTTCACTGATACACTTCTTCCTGTCGGTTTTCAATCACCGAGGCACACAAAGACTGAATATATAGTCCTTAAACCTTGATCATGAATCCTCAGTCATTAATCTGTTCAGGCTGTGCATTGTCCATGGATAGCCAAAGGCAAAACTCATTCTTCAGTGATCGGCCTCAAATAAAACTGCATATTGTTTTGATGAGATTGATATAATTACCTACTGATGAATGTTCATATCAGAATTAGTTGTATTAAAAAACTATGAATTGCCAATAAAACAAATTTAATGGCTACAGATAATGAGCATTTGCTAATTCTCTCACTTGTACAAGTTGGTGAATTGCTGGATCTTAGCTAGTTTGGCCTGGGCTGGTTAGCCTTGTGTTCAATTACATATCTAGGCCTCAAATAGAATGGACAGAGCCATACTGTGTGGAATATTGACTCGTGCATTCCCTCTGTGGATCCTGCCTGCCCCTCCCTCAGCATCCACTGCTGGAATCAAGCTCAGAGTATCCCACAGGAGCCTAGACTCTACCGGCAGCTGCCCAAGGTGACCTTGTGTCAGGAAGCCCATCTGTTCCTGGGCTCCAGTATCGAAGTCTACCCCTGGTCATCACCTGGGACACTGAGACAGGTACAAGGACACCCAACAAGGGCCCAGGGAGGGTTCTCAGGTGCAGTCCTGGCTGTGAACACCTTGTGTAACGTGGTCTGTCACTTTCTACAGCCATTGAGGCATTGCTGATGGGAGTGGGCACTACAGCCAGACGGCTAGGAAGGGTTATGAAATGAAAATAACCTGGGGACACCCCATTGACACCCTGTTTCCTAAGAACAGATGGTTACTGACCTACTCAGATGCCAAAGCAAGCAGAAGAGATGGCCATGCTCAGGGAACCATGGCAAGCCAGGGACTGGAAGTCTGGGATCTGCAATAGAAACCACCCAGAGAACCAGAAAGTCCTGGGAAAACCAAATGGGTGAGGTTTCTAGATGCTCATGTGTGGACAAAGACACCTACAGTTTGGAATGTTAGGCAGATATGAGAATGGGGCAGAGTGGACAAGTCAGATACGGGTAGGACCGGATACATAGCCCATTCTAGGAATGGAAGAAATGAGTAGGTTAAGGTGCAAATATATGAGCTTGCTGGCCTGTGTTATGATGATCAGGCTGGCCTCTTGCAGGATTACAGATTGTGTCAGTAACAGCCTTATACACTCTGTGTGAGGCCTAGACATGTGATTGAACATGAGAGCATCCAGCCCAGGCCAAGCCAGCTCAGACCCAGCAATTTACCAACATGTACAACTGAGAGAATTAGTAAATGCTCCTTATCTGCAGCCACTGAGTTTGTTGTATTAGTCATTTAAGGTTTGTAATACAACAAACTGATATGAATATATATTAGTATGTAATTATATAAATCTCATAAAGATAGTATGCAGACTTAAGTGAAGAGAATAAAGGGTAACATTTATGAGTAGAAAAGATGAAAATATTCTGTAAAAATGTATTCATAGTATAAACCTATAAAGAAATATTGTAAACACATGCAATTCAAAATTCTCAATGTATATAAAATACTTTTGATTATCTCTTGGGTTTGGGTCCCAAAATAGAGAGATATCAATGGTTGGCATATTTCTAATTAATTCTCAGTGGTTTGAATTTATGTTCTTATTATCTCCTGGTTTATTTAAAATTCAGCTATGTAAATAAAAATAAATAAATAAAATTCAGGTGTGTATTGCTACCCTCAGGAAATCTTTCCTTTCCTTCTTCTACTACCTCAATGACCATTCTGCTATTTCATACCAGTAAGTGCATTATATGATGACTCCCAACTTTTTTGTGTGATTTCCACACTATATTGTGTGCTTCTGTGTATCAGGAACTATATTTAACTCCTTCTTGGAAATCTGGACCTGCCTAGTCCCTATAATGTCTCTCCTCTTTCTCACATGATGAAAAAACTGTTCATGTTTCAACAACAACAACAAATATTTGCAAATAAACATATGGTCCTTGATACTCACAAAAGAAAGCAGTCAATAAAACTCTCAATGCGCTCTGATGATGGACAGAGTCAGACTAAGTATATTCAAAGACCTAAAGACAACCATGTTGAAAGCTTTAAAGGAAAATATGAGGATGATAACCCAAAAGATAGAAAATCTCAATAAGACATAGAAACATGATAAAGAATCCAATAGAAATGTGGTTGAAATAACAAATGGAAAACTTACATGACAGGTTCACCAGCAGATTGCAATGTCAGAAGAAAGGATGCATGAACTTGAAGAAAGAAAAAAAGAAATTATCCAATGGAAATAATAAAAATACTGGAGAAAAATGAAGAAACAAAAAGGAGGAAGAAGAAATATTTAAGGAAAGATGGCAAAAAGATAAAGGAGTACAAGGGGGCCCCTGAACCTGGCAAAAAGCATATTCACAAAACCCTTTAGCTAACAATATATTTAAAGAGTGAAAGATGGGATGCATCTGTGCTGAAACTCTAAACATGTCAAAGATGTCCACCCTCACTGTTCATATTAATACAGAAGGCCACCTACCTAGTGCAGTGTAGTAAGAAAAGGAAAGGAAGGCATTGGAAAATCTACAAAACCAGACAAGTGAGTTTAGGAAAGTCAAAGGGTAGAAGGAAAACACACACACACACACACACACAACAAACCTTAATTCTAAAATATAATGAGAATAGGAAACTAAATTATGAGCCCAGGAACACTTAAAATAGCCTTCTAAATATGACACATTTAAGTAAATATCTTCTAAAACATATAAGATATGTATGCTATCAACCAAAAAAACTCCAACCCCCCCAACCCCCCCCCAAAAAAACCCGCTGCTTTTTTTAAAAAAGCAGCTGGGCATGGTGGTGCGCAGCTGTAATCCTAGCACTCAGTAGGCTGAGGCAGGAGGATCACTGAGAGTTCCAGACCAGCCAGAACCATGTAGTGAATTCAAGGCCAGCCTGAACTTCATAATTTGTTTTTAAACAGCAAAGAAAATTAATCAAATGGAGTGACAGCACAACCCTAAATCAGAGGATTCAACACATAGATGCCAAATCAACCCACTTTCACTCATACATTTAATGCAATTTTAATATAACTCCCAAGAAAGTTTTTGGAGATAAAGAAAGGCTCATTCTAAATATATAGAAAGGGAAAGGATTTCCTTTTCACAAATTTGAAAAGAAAAATAAAGCCTGAAGAGTGTGACTTCTGAGTCACAATTACAAGAGTCATTAATCACTAGAATGTTTTATTGTTTGAATTACAGACATACTCATCAATGGAATCAAAGAAAAAAATTAAGAAATAAAAGAATAGACAGCAGGTTTTTACAAAATCAATTTAATGGAAAAAGGACAATATTTTCTTTCTTTTTTTTTAAAGTTACAAATTTCTTTTAAAAATTTTTTTTCTTTATTAAATTCTTTTATTGGTACATTGTAGGTATACAACACAATTACATTTCTCATTGGGAATTGTACCTTTACATGATGCCTCTTGGTTCTTATTTTTTCCCCATTCCTAGCCCTCCCTTCACCCCCTCCACCCTTCCCTACTTACAAAGATTTTATTTCCATTTTTTCCATTTCTCATCATTTTTCCTTTCCCTTCTTTCCTTTCCCCTGCCCCTCCCACTACCCCTACCCCTTTGGACCTTTTCTTCCTATTTTGCGTTATCAATTATTCATTCTAATCATTGGTATGTTTTAGGTATACAATATAATGACATTCATCATTGGAAATTTGCACCTTTACATAATCTCTCTTGGTTCTTATTTTTTACCCTTGCCCAGCCAACAATATTTTCAATACATAGTAGTAAACGAAATGGACAACCTTGGCAAAATAAAACAAACTTTAACCCTCACTCCATATACAAAAGCTAACTCAAAATAGATCATAGTTTTAAATTGTGAAAGCAAAACTATATTTCCTTGTAAAAAGACATGGGACAAAATAATCATGATACAGAGTAGGTAAGGACTATTTAAGCTACAACACCAAAATTTCAATACATGAAAGAAAAAAATTAGAAGTGGGACAGAATTATACAGATGAACACATTTGAGATTGCTAAGAGTTAGAGTTGGAGAAGTGGTGCAATTATTAGAGTACCATGAAAGAGTTTGTGTTGGTGTGTTATGGTGGTTACATGAACCAATATATATGTGATAAAATGTCTCTACATAGAGCCTACATTTTAAAAACATGAGTGGATGTTACAATGTGTGAGATCCAAATAAATTTTGTAGTTAACAGAATTGTAGTAATTTTCCATTCCACTAT